ATATGAAAAAGGCATCGAAGCGCGACTCTTAAGAATTTGTGGCACGTTTCCATTGATTGCGTTTGAGAGCTGCCACCAACCCGGATATAAACGACGCTATGCACTATAACTCACATGGCCATAAAGGCGTTCAGATACCGCCACCCCATTCTCCGTTAATCCATTAAATTTGAAATATGCTTTTGCGGGTGGCCGTTGGGCGGAGGGATCCTGGAAAATCCCGCTCGCATTTAGATAAATGCCTTGAGCTTGCCATGGTAATGCCAATGTGTCAAGTCTTGGTTCAAGCTCCTCGAAAGCTGCCAACACAAATCAAAATGCAAGGAACTTGCATTCACCTCTGCCATTTCGAAGCGGACATTTTGCTGCTCCAAGAAAACTTTCCCTCTGTTTTGCCCTAAAAGTGACTGAAACAGCTATATTTCATTAAAATAAATAGGGGTTCGGTTTTCCAAAAAGGGGTGTTACAACTTATTCTTCCAAAAAAGTTACATTTGAGAGTCAAAGTGTGAGTCATAAATATCATTTTAAATTTGTCAATATAATATACCTTTTATTTTTTTTTTTTTTTTTTTAAATATTTAAAAATTTTATTTACTTTATTTTTAAAGAGAAACGAAACGTAGATTATAATATATATAACGATACACACTTATAATAAAAAAATTATTTTGTAAGCAACAATGGTTTTGAAAATATTTTAAAATTAAATAATATGGCGTAGATAACTGGTCAGTTCACATTGCTCCACAATGCACGTGCTCCTAATATTATGCAATTGTTTTTGCCACAACCACACACCCACGCACACACATTCACCAGCACCAACACAATGAGGCAAAAAGAGAAATTGCGATACCGGCGTCATTTTGATGGCCCTCCACAGTGGGACATTTCATTTGCAGCTTGTGGACGAAATAAACTGAAATTGAATGGCGTAGAAAGTAGAAACAGAGGAGGGGCATTGGTATTTCCAAACAACTCCTAAATGCGCATCCTAGCCGCAAAACGAGCTGGTGGTTGGGCTTTCAAAAAGCACTTTGAATTCCGCCACGCCACTAAAATTCATAGCCAGTTGTTTATAGCGTGTTTTCACTTTAATTACCAAATGCGTCATGGGGGTGCTAGTACTGAATTTTCGAATTTAGTTTACTTATTTGAAAATGTTTGAAATGTTTGAACAGTTTGGATAAATATAAAAGCTATATTTGTAGTGGTAATGAAAAAATTGAGTTACTGGAATTATATACCGCTTATTTGGCTATAACTTTGTCAATAAAAATTACGCAGATTTAATTAAAAAAAACCGTTTTTGTAGACAAAAACATTTTTAATAGGTATTTAATTTTAAAACAGATAAATGAGTCATTCAATATTGCCTTTGAATATTTTAATAAATTACACTCAATCTAAATCAAATCTTTTTAAATTTTTTTCTCACACATTGTCAACATCTGTACTTTAATACATGTATTTTCCAACTCTTTGTGCTTATAAATGTAAAAAAAAGTCAAACTGTTTATAACGACTGAGAACATGTTTATCAACATTTTGAGCCATAAGTCAGGCTGGATGAGGAGCAGTCAACGATACGTGACAAATGCGAACAACTTGAATTCTGTCATTACGCAAAATAAAATATTATGATATTGCACTCTGACATTTGTGCCCCACCGTGTTTGACCCCAGGCCACCCATTGTGCCGCCCCACGGTGCGTGTGTGGGATCGGCGTTTTGGTGTGGGTGTAAATGTTTGCGTCCATTCAAGGACACAAGGTCTGGCACCGCTCTCGAATGGCATCCGGCTGCTCGAGAGCCTGGTGTTCGCTCGGTGCAGCTCCTAGACGTCGCTCTCCATAACCCTGGCAATGGCAGAGTGTTCCATTTCCACTCTGGCGGCGACCCGCTCGTAACTCTCACACCCACACCCAAATCCCCAACCACCTTTTTCCGGGTTTTTCCTCTGTCAGCACTTGGCACCCACTTGTGTGGTATTTTGTTTTTACACTCCACCACCCAACCATTGCTACACAAAACAAAACAATATTAATAAAACACGGAATTAACTGAAAAATGTGTCACAATAAAAGTTTAACATAAAAAAATATTTTATGTCAATATCACTAAATAAGTACTTTTTTTAAGACGTTACTAAGCAAGAATAAGATTATTTATGCATATACAGTGATTTTGATTCAGAATTTAATGGGTTAATTTGTGTTCAAATATACTAATAAAGATATAAAGGTTATAGAAAACGATAGAAAATATGAATTTATTTAATTTTTTTACAACAAAATGTAAAGACAGAATTTTGCTAAAAATTTTAATATGATATCCTTTATTCTATATTATAAAACTAATTAAATGAAACAAAATTATAACACTTTTTTGATACAAGGAGATATTAATTGTGTTTCAGCATTTGCTAGTAGTTTTGCACAGTGTAGCCAACCATGCCCACTTGATGTGCCTCCCGTCTGACTGGGATACATATATTTCCAGTTGTTTCCTTTTTCGTTGCGGCTTATTTGTTGGCCTCGGTGTTCTGGAATTGTCATGTAAATGGGTTAAGTTCTGACATTAAATTGTTCTCGGCCAGATTTTTCATTTGTGCTCTTGCTTTGACGTTTGGCCAAAACGATTTCCCATTTCCGTACAACCGACCATAGTCCATGATCCTGTTTCCGCATCCTTCTCCACCGCTCTGTTATCCCGTTTATTCATTAAAACCAAAGCCAGCAATGTCTGAAATTCATGCCAGCGGGCATAAAGAGATTTGCAGTATTTGTTGATAATTGCATTTTGTGCTCTGGTCGGTTTTGGTCAGGCCTTTGTGCAAGACAATTTAATATATCAAAATAGCTTGCTAGATACCTACGTGAATAAACTATCATCTAACAAAATTTGCAGAAATTGTATTTAATGCAACAAATTGAAATTCATAGAATAAATTCGCCAAGAAGAATTAATAGATTACACAAATTTGTCATGATACACAAATGTATTGTGTATAAATATTTGAAGAAGACTTGCTGAACAAAAAAAATAAATCTATATTTGTTGTTTTAAATTAAGCTACAAAAATAGCAATAAAAGAAAAAATAAATAAAAAAAAAACATCTCCCCGACGGGGAATTGAACCCCGGTCTCCCGCGTGACAGGCGGGGATACTAACCACTATACTATCGAGGATGTTGAATTTTAGGCTATCGAACATTTATTTGTTGAACAGCTCTCATATGTTTATTTTTAAAATGTTAAAGTTTCGAAATATTGTATGACATTCGACAAAATGTGTGAAGAAATGATAAGAACCTATATTCACTTATCTTAGCTAGGTAATCTTGCTGACATTGTTATTGCATTTGCAACCATGTCCGTTATTGCCACTTACTTTATCCCGTAGTCATGTATTTTTCGATAATAACAGCAGATGTCATGATTGGCAGATTATATTCAATAATTTTATGTAATTAATCTGCTTAAAATTACACAAGTTATTGGTTATTATTTTAAACAAAGTATATTTTTTGCAGGTATTAATATCATAATGATATTTATAATATTGCAAATAAAAAAGCATACAAATTTGTGAGAAGACAGATTATAAATATATGTTAACAAGTTCTTCAGAGTTTTAAATGCTCTAAGGGATTTGTAACTTTTCTCGACTTAAAAAATCAACATTAAAGGGCGGTTTCAGGATAATCACTAAAACAGTAGTGAAACGTTTAGTAAAAATTTGCGAAATTACTTCCGTAAGCGCGGGTGCACTTTAATTGCATCCAGATTGAATCAAATACAAAACAGAACAGAACAGTACAGAACAGAAACAAAGCCAAATTAAACTAAAGCAAAGAACAAAACGGCGCCCAACTTTGTTGAAATCATGCAAAGCGCAGCACATTTCGAATTGGCCATTGAACTTTCATATCAAAACAGCGGCACCACCGGCGAAAATGGTTTTTAAAACGCTAAAACACGCGAGACCCAACAGCCGCGCCCCATCATAATTGGAAAAGTCTGTAAGAATCGCCAGTAAATGTATCACATACATATGTGTGTGTAAATGCATGTGCTTGGGTCTTGGGTCTGGGGGAAAACAACTTCCGTTACCAGCTGATAGGCCCCTTTCCCTTGTTCCAATTTCCCCAGGCAGTTGTTAACAACTTTGCGCAAATTACAATGGAAGAGTGAAAAGTGCAGTCGAAGTGGTTAGGAGGTCGTTGCTTTAAGCACAAGTGATTAGCCGAACTGCATTGTGACCTGTGGGAAAGTGCATCCTCTTAAAATTTTTAGTATACTAAATGTAAAAGAGGGTATAACCAGTTAATTTACAACTTAAGAATACATTTAAATTATAAAAATGAATGATAATATTCTGGTTTAATTTATGAAAAATTGGAAGGCAAGGCAATTAACAAGCTATCACTGGTATTAAAGGCTTAGGGTCCGTTGATAACCGATTTTTACCGGAGGCATTACGGAATTATTGGCATTTGACACTATAATGAGCATGGCTTACAATATATTTATATGTTTCGATGTTATCTAAATTATTGCCTGTACATTAAGCTCCTCTCACGTTCTTATCAAAAGCATTTAATGCACTTACTTTATATATCCCATTAAATTCAGACAATTAAAAAAATTACTTTAATATTCTGAAAATATTTTGCAAAAGTAAAACAAAAATGTTATGTAATATTTATTTCATAACAATGACTTCGTCACCTGCTTCATTTTTATCTCTATTCAATTATAAATGTATGTTTTTATAAATGAGATTTCATGGCGTCGAACAAAAAAGCAATTATGATGGATGTACCCGTATATATTGTTACACGACTAACGCGATAATGTGGTTTATTGATACACTTTGATGTGGCAAAACCTCTTGTTCATGAACAAGTTGTTTGTGTACAAATAGTAGTTACACTTAATAAGTAAATATTATAAAATAATAGCACTAATTTCTATTGTTTTGTATTTTTCAGGATTTAAATGCCCCAAATTCTTATATATGAAATGTAAGTGATAGCTTACTATCAAAAAAATATGGAAACAATGAGCAAACCATTCACCATGCTGATATCATAATACATATACTTATATGCACATATGGGTATATAGTAGAAGCAAATGCGATAAAAGCAGAACAATCAAACATTAAAACCATACAATTTCAGAATTCGTTGCCTAGCAGGCCACACGCCCTATCACCGGCCATGCCCTCCGCCTCCGTCCCGCCCCTTCCGGTCGACACTGCGTGGAAAAAAATCAGAATGCCAGCCCAGTCCAGTTAATGGAATGAAATAAAATAAATCAAAACGGCAAAAGCGGCGAAACAGCAGAGTTGACACAAAAGAAAAGGCCATAGTGAAATAATATAAAATTCGAAGGCGAACGAATGAAATCAAAAAACCAGCGTAGAGTAACGCGACCAACACGAAAGAAATCAACACTTGGACCGGCAACAGCAACACATATTGCCAGTGCAATTGCAACAGCAACTTATATTGCAACTGCACCAGCAATTCGAGGGATCTGCTGGACACATTCTCTAGAATGAAGGGCAACTACATCAATCTCAGCACGCACAGTGGAATCAACGGAGCCAGTGGCAACGGCAACGGCAACGGCAAGATGTCGCTGGGCAAATCCATCAAAATGTACCTGACTATTTTCATCGCGACCACATGCATTTACATGGTGCTCTACCAGTACCACATATCCCGCGAACCCTTCGCCGCCGCCGAAGTTGTCAAGGTGAGTGGAGAACTGCACTGGGAGAAAATACCCACGTTGTTACATTTCATACCAAAAATATTTTTTTGTTCTTCTATGATAATTTTAACCAATAAACAAACTAACTTTAAATAGATAGTTAGAATTGATTGTTATAAAACAATTATTTTGTCAAATATAGATATCAGAAAGCGTAGAATGTTCTAAATAGTATTCATAATGCTGAAAAAATGTTAGAAATAATTTTTTTCTGTATGAAATCCTTGTCACTTGATTTCCTTTCTCTGCGTGAACACAGTTTTCTATTAGTTGATTAACCTACTGCACAATTCCCTTTTAAAAAAATTAATTGCACCACATGCGCCATATTTTCTGTTCCACTGTGCGGGTGTTAGAGGCAATTGACTAGTTTTATAATCTTATCTGACTCCAGCATGGTTGGTAGCCAAAAAAATCGTGTACCCTTAATAAAGATAACCAATTTTATCAATTTTATCATAAAAGTATATTGTTTTGACTGCCGTGACCTTCCCCTGATCTTCATCTAATAATAGTTAATTAATAAAAGATTTCTCAATGTCAAAATAACATAATTTTTGCGAATCTATAAATTAAAACGTGAGAAAATGTATTGTTTTCTCTGAGCAAGTTTTGTAGCCTTAGATCCATAAAAACTTAAGTTTGCCAAAATTTGGAAACTAAAAACCCCACTTCGAGTAACAGGAAATGATAAAAACAGTACATTTGAGAACATGACGTAGTATATGATATTTGGTTTTGGCTGCAATAAAGCATAAGCAACTAGAAGCACGAAATTAAAGTGTGAGAAATAAAAAACTATTGGGAGTGTTACGTGCCTAAAACATAACAAACCAAAGATGTGTTAAGCAAATAAAAATATAAACTTGGCGTTGGGAAAGGGTTACCTTGATATTTGTTGATAATTCTCAAATACTTTTAGCTATCAATCCTGCCATAATAACATATCAAGTTCATACCTAACAATAACCTTTAAATCTAACCATAGAATTTAAATAGTATTAAAACTATTGTAATATTTTCTTTGTGTTCTTGTTCTATTTCTTGTGATCCCTAATATAATATAATAATATAATCACTGCTAAACTAAACCGAACTTTAGCATCAAGAGAAATCATCGTCATATATCGCTTCATATTTGTGGTCACCCATTTCCCTGCTAATGGCCAATAGTTCCTCAAACATCAATACCAAATCCACAACAACAAGCACAACAATAGCTCCAATAACAAGAACAACAACAACCACAACCACAACAGCTGGTACAGTGGGCAGTGTGGGTCAGAAAGTGGGTGGTGCATCCTCAGCCTCCATTCGCATGGTTTCATTAGCGGCCACAGAAGCCACATTTATATCCTCGTCATCGGAACTAAGATCGGGATTGGGATCGGAATCGGGATCGGTGGGTGGCTATCAAAAGACTGCAACCACTAAAACAAGCACCACAACAAGAACAACAACCACAACAACAGCCACAGCCGGTGTGTTAGCAACAACAATTAAATTGACAACAACAACGAAAGCCAAAACAAGCGCCAAAACATCCGCGGTGGCCACGCCCACCGCCTCCCACTCGGAAAACGGCCAAAAGACTCGACCAACATTCGTTGCCGCCTCAGAGCCCGTAAATATATTGACATAATCGTAATCCTATCCATGCACTTCCCCCGATCACCTAACATACACCGAAGAAAAATCGTACCAAAATCATGAATATTTTACCGAATTTATGAAAATTGAGTCTATAGGTGGTAGAATAGAAAAAAAAGTATGTAGGTTGTATAATACAAATATATATATTTTTTAAATATGATTCCATTTAAATTAAATGAATTAATTAGTCAAAAAATAGATTTATTTTCAAAGAAACTTTTTATTTCGAACTTAAAAAGTCAAAAAGTTAGTAAATCGTTGATTTCCAGTTGTCAAATTACAATTAAAAATCAAATTTCTGTCCAAAGTAAATATAAAAGAAAATTAAACCTATTTTTATTATTCAGAACTGAAGAAAAATTGTCTTGCTAAAATTATTCTAGTATACAAAACGGTAATCTTGTTTTTGATTTTGGATATACATTTTATCTCAGTGAACCCAAGTTTGCAACACCCACAACTAACCAAACTTATTACACTCTTGTTTCTCCCGCATTTCACTTATTCTGTTTTAATCTTCGGAAGTGCATTTCGAGCTTATCTGCATATTATTTTTAGTTGTCGAGTGCATGTTTCTACCAAGTGTTTCTGTGTTGTCAAATGTTGGTGTGGCTGGCTGGTTGCTTGTTATTATTCGATTACTGAATGTCGCACTTGTTGCCCTTTCAATGCACACTGCAAACCTGCTGGTTACTTTCTTATCGCTTTTCCTCACCCCGTTTTTCAATTTTCTTAATTGGCATTTGCTGCTCGCAAGTGCCTTGCACACTAGTCATTACTGTACGAAACATAATGAGCCTGAATGTTGTTGAATGTAATTTGAATAGGTTAACAAAATGTTTTATAATTTACATAGTAGCATCAGAAACTCATCCTGAAATTGTACAATAGAAAATAATTATCTTTAATATGTTATTTTAGTTGTACTTAAAATTAAAACAGTAGTAATATAGGGTTATGTTGTTACATTTAAAATATTTTAATTAATTTATATTTCTTAGACAATTTTTCTATAAAATTCATGTGTAAGAAAATTTTTGTTGTCATACATATGCTAAATCAAATTTGCATTCGCTGGAAAATCTGGTCAAACACAAATGAATATTTAACAATTACTTCTACAAAGAAAAACCCAAAGCAAACACGGTGACAAATGTGTTCTACATTTACCCAAGCCACTCGTTTGTTAATTGTGGACTCATTAAACTCCTAAATGGGAATATATTACCAAACGACTTCGAAACGCAAACAACACAATGGGAGGCTATCCCCCACAAATTGCGCTGTTTATCTAACCAACTTTTGTTGGCCACCATGTGCAAATTGCTGGCCGGCTATCAGCATCACGATTTCTGGGTTAATCACATGCATTATATTAACCAACAAGCCGCACTAACTGCGGGTGTGCCACTGCAACTGGTGGCAGACAAAAAGATTCTCATTTTCCATTAGACATGAGCCTAATTTGAAAATTGCGCTAATTCGCAGACAAAACCAAAAAAACCAAAACCACAACCAGTTGCCATTAAAAATTTTTTTTTAGAAAAATCACTAGCACTGAAAGCTACCACCGAAAAAGTAGGGGTGTGTGGGTGGTGGGTGGTTGCTGATCTAGATTCCAGATTTATGCAAAAAACAAAATGCAAGCCAATTGAAAAGATTCACGCGCATTTGCCTGTCATTTAGTAGTTGCTTCTACTTATAGAGATACCAATGCCCTGCACTCAATGTCAATGGTCAAGCCCCTCAGCATTAAGATAAAATAGAGTCTAAATTTATTAGCTAACATATATATATATATTATAATACTATTAAGGAGTATAAGAGCAATACGAATAAAATCATTGTTTTACCTTTTTTTATAAGTTTGTAAGGCATAATACAAGGCTAATTTTTCAAAAACTAAAGATTACATCAATAATCTTTTTGATTTAGGAAAACACATACGAGTTAAATTTATTTCACTAAAACGTTAAATTAGATTTTTTATTAAGGGTTTAATATGTTGATTCCTAAAATGTTTTAGTCGAAAATAAGACGATCTTTACAACAATTTAAGCTAGTATTATAGAAAATTAGCAATGAAATGAAGATCTATTAAATAAAATCAGCTGACATTGTGAAATCTGATCTGCTTTGTGTGCTAAGCCACCCTTTGATCTCTTCTACATATCTCTGGTCATTTGAATGTCCGAGTTTATTTTGTAAAATAAATTTGAATGCATTTTTTTTTGTTATCCATCCCCTTGCATGTGGAGGGTGTGGTTGTGTTGTGGGTGCATGTGTGTCAACAATGGACAATTTGCAAAGTGAGTGCGCCAGTTTATTTATTTTCAACGTCAGTCGTTCAATGGGCCACGGATTTACCAGGCACAACATATCTAGAACGGGTGTTTAATACATGTGTGCTTGAAAAAACACTCAAACAAAAACAAAACTATCCATATCAAAAATTATCATTTTAAATATGTAAACTTCCGAAATCGGTATCTTAAAGGTAATGTTTCTTATTTTAAATTAGAAAAAATAATACAAATACTAAAATTAGAAAATGTTTAGTCTTTAAATATTTGCAACAGGGAATTAGTTCATATTTAGTTAACTTGACTTTATTTTTACTTTGCTTGCTTTATTATTATATATCTATATTTAAAATATCAAAACATTTTATATAGAATCTTTTTTAGCAATAAGAAAACATAATTTTTTAAGACGGATCCTTTTAAAACTTTCCTAAAGCTTAGTAAAAATGGATATTCTGCATTTCCTTTAAGTATCTTGTCATGAAATTCAGCTTTAATTGAATTCAGTTAAAAATGATTCTGTAATACTCTTCAATAAGAACAATATTTCTTTGCAATCAATCCACATTTTTTCTGAGTGCCTTCGACTAGTGAAATGCGACCTATTTTGCTGAGCCAGAGCCTAGACACACTGACTTACGGCAATGGGGTGGATGTGGATGTGGATGTGGATGTGGCTTGGTCGCCTAGTCAAGCCATTGGGCTGTAAATGAATTTGCATAATTGCTCATAAAAAGAAGCTCACGCCGCATTACGCACCACCCACTGGCATCACCTAACGAGGCACTCAGTCACCCAGTCAGCCAGTCACCTAGCTATCCAACCACCCGAACACCCAACCACCCAAACAACCACTAACCAGTCCAAGTGCATTGCACACATACGCCCCGTTGTACACAGCGTTGGCGTTAGATAACCTAATGACACTCAACTGAAATCAACTCGACCCACAGCCGCCCCTGTACATAATCACGCCCACCTACCGACGACCCGAGCAGCTGGCGGAGCTCACCCGGCTGGGTTATACCCTGAAACATGTGGTCAATCTACTCTGGCTGGTCATCGAGGATGCCAACAAAACGAATCCGCTGGTGGCCCACACTCTGGACCGGATCGGAGTGCCCTACGAGTATATGGTGGGTGAGTATCATTACCATGCGTTCTATGTGTGTGTGTGTGTGTGTGTGTATGTGTGTGTATTTCATGTCCTGGTCACATTCAAGTGATATTTACGAGGGGCTACATTAACATTGCCCATTCCCATTCCCGTTCCCATTTCGTAGCACCCATGCCCGAGAAGTACAAACAGACGAAACGGGCCAAGCCGCGTGGCGTCTCCAATCGGAATCGAGGCCTGGAGTATCTGCGCCACAATGCCACCGAGGGAGTGCTCTACTTCGCCGACGACGACAACACCTACGACATTAGCATATTTGAGCAGGTAATGGGAAAAAAGGAGCAGCAGGTGGCCGTGTAATTTGGCCTATGCCCCACCCTAAACATAAAACACAATTTACCCGAATTAGGGGTCAGGAATTGGCAATTTCCTATCAATAGATTAAAGATTCATTTAAATATTAGCTTGGCTGCTCCCGCTTTTAAAAAACTTCAGGAAGGCAAGTTTGTTCTTTAGCTAACTTTAATCCAAACTGACGTTTTCGATAACAAGCTCAACCCTTCTATAAAGAAACTGCGATGTAAAAGTCAATATATCACTATTAATATTATCCCAAACAAAAATTAAAACAATTACTTAACAATGTTAAGGGAACAAAACACTAGTACAACTAAAAAGCAATGGAATTTTGTAAATAAACTTGAGCTTATTTCTTTGCTTTATCTTTTTACTTTTCCTAGATATCCTAAAGCCTGGAAAATTGGCTGTTTTTTTTTTCTTTGAAAGTTTCGTGATAATAAAAATTTAAAATATTATAACTTCCTTTCCTTAGATGCGCTACATAACGAAAGTGGCCATGTGGCCAGTGGGCCTTGTGACAAAGACCGGCGTAAGCAGCCCCATAATTCAGGGGGGCAAGCTGGTGGGCTTTTACGATGGCTGGATCGGGGGTCGCAGATATCCTGTGGACATGGCTGGTTTTGCAGTGAGCGTTAAGTTCTTGAAGGAGCGACCAAAGGCGCAGATGCCTTTTAAGCCGGGATACGAAGAGGACGGCTTCCTGCGCAGTCTGGCTCCACTGGACAATAAGGAAATCGAGCTGTTGGCCGACGAGTGCCGAGACGTAAGTGATTTCATTAATATATCATACACAATTAGTCAAGCCTGCCATAAAGCAGCAACAATAAATATACGGGACATTACTGACATTTTATCCATATTAAAATATACAAATTTTCCACTATATTTATAATTAAGGAAATGTTATTTACCTCTTTATTTTGGCGTTTTTATCATATTCATTTTAAATTAAAACCATCATATGTATATGGTTTATTTACCATTAAAGTTGATAAACTTTAAACAAACAATAACCACATTGTTTGTATGGGATGGGTTCGTAAAATATCCCTTAAAAATATGGCATTTAGAGTCTAAATCTGATACTCATCTAAATTATATGATAAATAACTGAAAAATATTTTATAATAAATATCCAAACTTATTCTTTAATTTCTTAATGAAAAATGTTGGGAAAATAAAATTTTACAGATACTTTTTTCGAAGGTTTCAGTATAGGAGTTATTGAAATTGTTATAGTAAATATAATATAGTCAGTAAAGGAGTTATTGAAGTTATTATAGTTTATAAAATTTTTATAAAAGTAATTGTTATATTAATATAAACTACGATTTTGTTGTACCCCAGATTCTCACGTGGCACACGCAGACGAAGAAGAACGCCCCCGCACAGGCGCTGAACAGGACGCGCTACAAGAACACGAACCTGGAGTACATAGACAAGTTGCTGGTGCGCCCGTAGGGATATTGACTGTAGTTAGCTAGTTAGTCTTAGCGAGGAGCCCCCCGCGAGCTCCTCCCATTTTGACCGTGGCTCTGACGGGTTGTACAGGTACAACCTGGCGCACGGAGAAACCAATCAGATTTGATCAGATCAGTAGTCGGTGTACATTGCAACCATAATCATACGAGTAGTTAGGCTCTAAGCGCACACTACACACCTCTATGGTAATTCAATGCACCGTAGGCTTTTTTTGGTCCCCTCACACGTAATCGTAGCATATACACGCCTAATCATACCTTGAGTAATGTATTGTATTGTATTGTATCATATCTCAGCGTCCACGACTATTTTGTAAATAATCGCAATGCTTGATTTAAGCTTAAGACATATGTGCTACAAATTCTGTTTACGCTCTAAGTTGAAACGGATTTTTCAGCCAAAAGGGCAAAGTTTAGCAACGAATTGGTTAAGATGTTCCTAGAGACCAAAGAAAAAGGACCCCTCAAGTTCTGCATTCAACACACACCTACCTAACATGCATTCCCCTGGGAAAGTTCAATCATTTGCGAGGTCAAGGCCTGCAGCACATCAGCAATCAATTAGGGCAAGGTGTCAACAACAAACTTGTTTCCCCGAATTCTCCAAAAACCGGGGCAGTCGTTTCAATAATTCATGCCCGTCATATGGATGTTCGAGGCACATGTACGAGTGGCACAGATAAGTTGTCCTTCCCCGGAGAATCCAAATCGCGTGCCACACTAAAATTGCACAAACAGACAGTGGATACGAACAGGACGAAGGGGACACAGTTTAAACATTGTAATGGCTCCTGCTAATGGGACTGAATGGCTCAAAAGTTTGGCAAAATCAATTTCATTCGAAACGCTGCACGATTATCCATTTTTTTTTTTTTGTTGAATGAGAACTCCTTTTGTATGCCTAAGATATGCGTTTAGTTTTTCCGAAACGGGTTTCCAAAGCAACAGTTTCACTTTCACTACTCATAAGTAACGCTAAGTTAAGTTTACGAAGAAATTTATATTCAAGTTATGAACTGCACTGAAATCGCCTACATGTAAATAATAATCACCAAATATTGTAACCAAATTTTTACACGTCCCGCAAAAAAAAAAAGGGAAGACGCGCAGGAATGTGGAAGAGACTATGACAAATGGTATTACGAAATTTATACAATTTATACAATTGAATATGGTATATGGAATATGGAATACGATAGGCCGCAAAGCAATTAGTTAGGTACTTACAAAAATCTAACAAAAATAAAATTAACAATGGAGTCTGGGACGAGCTCTCAAGAAAAATCAACTTAAACCTTTTCAAGAATATCTCAAAATGTTTCAATGAATATTAAAGATACACACAAATACGTCTAAAACTATTCTCTTATTCAAGTAAACAACTACAACTACAAAGTTTAAACCTGACATGACTTATAGCAAGGAACTTCAATCATTTTTTAAAAAAATACAAATACCTTTCAATAAATTGATACAATTTTCTTAACAATTTTCAAAGTACCCTGGTAATTGTTTTATTCCATTCCCATTAATAAATGACTTTGGATTTACAGAGGTATATTTGGAACAGAGTATTCGACAATAGCGAAAAGTGCGGTTGGAGTATTCGAAGCATGTTGGTGATCTACACAAAATCTGATAGTATAATATCGTCTAGTGGCTTCAGGCGGCAGCATCAATCAACTGGTTTAGAGTCCTGCAGTCGCTCATCTCGTAAAGAGAGGCCTCATCCAGGCAGATTTCTGATTTCATAACATACCATATATAGTATATGTATATATATTCATAAATCTGCCTTAGCTCGTTCGCATTCAGATCAGATACTTGGAATATTTTACGTGTATTTACCATCGCTGTTTTGGTTCGATGTCTTGGTGTTCGACCATTTACCATATATCTTTTTCAAATACCAATTCGGGTGTCAAATCGGATAGACAGCAACAGTAGAATTCTACTACAATTTGTGCTAGCTAAGACTTAATAGTGTGCATCATCTAGGAAGCTTACATTATATGGCACTAATCTGGTAAGTATTTAAAGCTATATCATATCATTTATTTTGGGCTTGATGAAACCCTATTTCTATGACTTGGAGATCTTTAAAGATAAACTTGGAAAAGATTTAATCGAGAACTCTAGAAGTGGATACAGCATTTTCTGTATATATTATGTTATTTAGTGCCTTCATTGTAACTTACTTGTTTGGTATAAGAATAAAAACAATCTATATCCACAAAGGGATATAAACATATGTTTAAATTCATGGGTGCATTGGTCATTCGCCAAGAAAGTCGATTTATATCATAGTTCAAGAGACAACATAACAAACTTACATGCCTAAGTGAATAATTTGAAATGAGTAAAAAAATTAATAAATGTATGGATTTAAATTCTATTACCAACTAATCTGATCTGATATTAATTTAAGCAAATAATAATAGGATAGTTCCATTCTCATGTCCAATCTTAAATTTAACAAGCTTTCATGGTTTATAATAATAAATATTTAAAGTTTGTACACCCAGAAAAAATTTACAACTCAGCGAATTATTGACAATATTTTCTTTAAGTAAATATTATAGAAATTAAACTTCTTGTTAAAGATCATAAATAATTTTATTATTTTTGTTAAGTGCATGATTAAATAAATATTTCTTGGTTTTTAGATTTTGAAGATTCCTAAGTGATTTTAAAAGAAAAAAACCCAAAAGCCCTTGCAAATCTAACTTGTCCTTGATGATATCTCTTGCGCTTGAGTGTGAATCGGTCTGACTTTAGCAAAGGAGCTCCTAATCGTCATCTGACTTGATCTCAATTCACTGCATTCTACTGCGTGGTACTAAAAAGATAACTCAACATCGATGGCTGCACGTGAAAGCTTATAGTTGCCTCTTCCCACTTGGTATGAATCAGACGCTGCAACGGCGTGTTGAGCGTCGACTCCTCCTTGGCGACCACATCGTTACCACCGCTAGCGCCACTAGCAGCACCACCAACACCGCCGCTAGCGCCACCCACACCGCCGCCGGCAGCAGCACCTCCTCCTCCGGAAATGGAAACGGACACAGCGGTCGGCGACGTTGCGCCCCCCATACCGCCCTCCTCCTTTCCGGACATCGAGGCACTGTCCGGCGTGATTGGTTGCCGCTCCAACATGACCAATGCCTGCTCGTTGTACGTGCGATTGTCGATGGTCATCAGGATCTGATGGCCCGAGCAGCTGTAGTAGTTCACATCGAACCGCGACTCCGCGTGATAGTTGCGCAGCAAGTCCGGATTCTTGTTGAAGATCACGCCGTAGTGGCCGGTGCAGCTGGTTATCCAGATGGGATAGTTGGGCGTCTTCAGGCGGGAACCCGGCTGGCGGGACTGATTCACCGCAGCCTGTGAAACAAAAAGAAGGTTTTTTAAAAATAGAAAATATTAAATCATTAAACTACAGTATTTTCGAAATAATGTATGCTTAATAAAGAGATATGGATAACAAGATTAAATTAAGAAAGAATTAAATAATAGTTGAAAAGCTCAAACCTTCGTACAGAAAAAAATGAAACTAATGAAAAGGCTACTCTAATGAAACATGTATTTTAATGATATTCTCTTCTATGCGAATAAAAATATTGTTATTGTGTTATGACAAACCATAACAGATCGCTAAAAACCTTCTAACAAAAAAATACAATTTAAATAAAAAATATTAAATAAATATTAATATTAAATACTAAAATTACTAAAAGCTATGACTGAACAGTGAAAAAAGCCACCAAAAAATTAAAAGAGATTTTATATGTTTAACTACAAAGAATTTAATTTAATTAAAATTCAATTGATGTACGACCAGCGACAATCAAATTGAATGTTTATTAAATGTGCCTTAAATTTGCGGCATTATCAACAGTATTAATATATACTTTTTTGATATAATAATTTAAAAAATTGTTTACTTAATGTATAAGTTTTTGAAAAATTAAACTAATTTATATAGGAAAGTCAAGAAATTACATATAATATTTCTAATATTTTGAAAATTAAATCTACGTACACTAGCAGACTCGATGTCCCAGAGCAATAGTCCAATCATGCAGCGTTTTAGGACTCCGTACTGTGGAACCGCCTGAAAGAGTAAATGAAAACCCACCGCAATCGAAGGATGTTATTATGGTGAAAGTCCCCCTATTTCCTGTACCCACATAGCTACTCTCGTCGCCCACATTTACAACACCATTGTGTATATAGGGCGTGGCACGACCCGTCAGCAGAAGCGTGACAATCATCAGGGATCCCTCCTCGTGGTTACTGGACGTCAGGGGCGCCGATTTCGCTGAGTCCAAGTCCGTGCGAACTCTGCAAAACATACGAAAGTATTCACCGCCGAAAGGTAAATTTAAATGGATTATAAATGGCCACTGAAACGGGGAAATGCATTCGCATCTACAGACACTTGGGCCCAATCTTACTTTCCCATAGATCGCGTGAGGACGGCGCTATATAAAAACAGCAGGGTGCCCGGGGTCTCCTCCTCTGTAAACTTTTAGGCAGGTTAAGTGCAAACTGTTTGATCAAATGGCTGTACAAGTAAATGTTTAGCTTCGTGGGTCTTACGTATTTGAAATTTCGCTTCAGAAAGTATTCCAACTCCTCATTGGGGGACAATGTAAAAACATAGAGCTGTAAAGGATTTTTAGAAAGATACAAAATGGGAAAAGGCAAATCTTAATTAAATTTAATTTAAGGTACTGTTAAAATAATATACTGACCTAAAAATATTTTTTTACAACACCAAACAGATGAAAAACAAGTATTTCTTTATATAAAATTGTGCAATAGGTGTTGTTTGGACGAAAAAGAAGATTAAGAATTTCTAAAACAGTTAAAGGAGTTTGATAAATTTCCCTATAGACTTAAACTTTTTTAAAGTATTTTAAGTATCGAAGATGTCTAAAATAAAGTAAATTTATAGAAAACAAGATGGGCTGATCCTTAAATATTTCATAGCATCAATGGAGTCATGATTATTTGTTTTGTAATAAAATTTAAAACTATTTTTATATGTTTGTTATGCAATAATTGCACCTACCTTCTCAGTGACTGAATCGTGGAAGTAGCAGGCGCTGTGATCAACGAACACCTCATCCTCCGAAGGCAGGACCATGGTGACCTTGCCCTTGTCCGAGATGGTGCGCAGGATCTCGAGGAGGGCGCAGAAGAGTGCCTCGCGTTGCATATCGGCGGTGGCCAGGAGCGGGCTGAAAAGGAAAAACACACACACAAACACAGGACACTCTGGATAACGCACTCAAACTTGCACTCTGTGCAAACCGGAAACGGAAATGGAAATGGAAACGCACTCGGTGAGGGAAGCGACGCGACTGGTCTTCCGGGCAAAAAGCAAATACTTCAAGACGAATCCCTGGACGACGGACAGTAATCCGCGGGTGGCATTCCGGGGCGAACGTAGGCCGTAAGCCAGCTCCTCCTTGGGAGCCCCAAAAACAAAGGACGTTTGGAGCCATTCGGCGCGCATGGGAATGGCGGCGGTGCCGAAAACCAGATTGCGCAGATCCTAAACGGGAACTCAATTTTAAGCAGGATCAAATCGCGTCCGGCTGCGGATAACTACTAATTACCGTGGCCAAATCGACGGTAATGGGTGTGCCGCCCTGCGTGATAAACTCTTTGTTCATTTTAATTCCGATTAGCTGCTGATTTCCGTTTCCGCTAGAGACCTTTGCTCCACTCTGCGACTCGTTGGCGAATGATTTCTCGCCAAGCACGGTTCCGGGCTCCAAGTCGAGCCTTTAGCCTGAGGATTTTGGAAGTGGAGGTGGAGGCTAAGGCGACGGCAGACAGCCGACATTCCAGTCATTTCACACTTCAGCATGGATTTTTAATTTCATATTTAGCCGAGGGCGCACGGGGCGTATGCGCAACTAAACAGAAGCCAGTCAGGTGTTAGTTAGTTACCATGGCTCAAAATTGGTAATCAAATATCAAAATGAATCCATGATTTTAGGTGCTTAAGAAAAGGTCTTAAGTGTTTAATGGTTGATAAAAAAAAGAAGTATGAAATTATAAGTTTTTATACATTGTAAATAAAACTTTACAAATATATTACGTGTTTATTTAGACCTAAAGATCAAACATTGTTATAGTAATATCAAGTCAAGTTTATATATTTATAAAAGGTTTAGGTCTAAAGAAACAAATTTTTAGGGAAGCCTAAATGGAATTAGATCAAGAATATAGTTGTTAAGTGAAAAATACCTCAAATTACTTGGAATTTAAAATTACATTTAAAGTTTCATGAAAATAAGTCAAATATATAAATGTAAAATAGATTGTACACTACAAGATCAAGCTTTAGAAACCGAAAAAGGCGTAGTTTAAGTAAAAGAAACCCCGAAATTTCCATTTCATCCCACAGTGCTGGGACTTTGGCTTAGGCTGAGAGGGTCGTTTGCTGTCTGTCAGTCAGCGAAAGTAACTTTAAATGAAATTGAATTGAATTTAGTTCTGTGTGCGGCACACGAAACTCGATGTATGTGGCACAACAAGAAGTGAAAGTGTTACGGCGGGACGAGGCCTGAAGTTTGGGGATATGAGACATGGGACATGGGCTTGGCCATAGTTGGAATCTGGCATGTTTCAGCCTGTCGGGGCGCTCCACACAACCGGAAATATGTAGTTGACGCCCATTTGTGCCGATTTGGAGGCAGGAACACCTCGTATGTGCACTTATTACTGGGTGTTAATATTCCAATGATACACACCCGGAAAGACATTCCAGGGGCCACCGCAGTACTGCTCAGTCATTTTAAATTTAGACAGCACAGCACTCGTGTTTCAGGCTAGCCCGATTGATTTGTTGAATTTTTGGGAGGGCCTAAATGGAAGTGAAAGTGGCCCAATAACTGGCTGATTGGCTGCCTGGCTGGTTATAACCTTGGGCAAGTCACCGGCAATTTTATTAAAGTCCCAGACTTGGCATGCACACCTCAACTTAACAGTCCTGAATGCCGCATTCTTTGGGCCTGCGAAATATAATTGTCCTGGGGTGTCAGAAGTGATCTGACTCAGCCAAAGTGTTGAAGGATTAGCGCCTTGAAGGGTCTTTAAATGCAAGATATGATATCTTTTCTTGTAGTTTGCCTCCAGACAGTTTAATTCCCTGTTGACAGGCACCTAAAAAGGTTTTAAAAAACACAATTTAAATCAAATTTACTATACAATTTATTCAAAAGTCCTACACCTTAATAACCACATACGGTAAAGCGTCATAAAGGCATTAAATAAATACTTTGCTTATCACTTTACAATTATTATTTGTTTGTCACACTATATAAAAACCCTTTTTCTCTGACTCATTCTCAGTGATTTCCTCCATTGATAATATGCCTGGGAATGAGTCAGTGAAATATTAATATAAATATACAAAGACATCTTAAGACTTATAATTTAGGGAAAGAGGTACCGGATAGTGCTCATCTCAAGATCTGCGGTTCCAGCGGTTGCATCATATCCCTCATTACGGTTTTGGCCGAGGCAGGAGCACGTCCCAGCAAATAAAGGACATTGAAGTACCAGTCGAGGATGCGCAGCTTGAAGGCTGACAAAAACAGACAGTACTCGAAGTAGATGCGGCGACTCAGCCAGTGGACAAACCGCAGGGAAGAACGGCTCTCGTTGTGTATATAAAGACACTTCTGGGCATATCGCGCCATCACCTGGGGCCTATTAACCACGTCTCCGTGCTGATGACTAATCGCTCGAACAGTGTTCAGGTTACGAACCTAGTTAAAAAATAGTATAAAGGATAGTTTAATCAAAAATAGTAAATATACTTTAATGTGCTCATCCAGATAGCAACCAAAAACAATATGATTCTTAATTGCTCTTAGTTGAGTATATAATGAAATAATAATAAAGAAATGAAAACAATTTTAAGTTTATTCATTCTGGTGTACACAGAAGTACACAATTATTAAAAAAAACTAACTCGGAATACAGAAATTTTTTTAATCTGTAACTAAAAACAAGGTTTTTGTGTAAATTTGAGATTAAAAGCTGCGAAATCCTTAAATGATTTGTTCTGTAAATTTTTAGTTAAGCCAATTTAGCTCTCTAAGAGTAAAATGATATTGAACCGTAGGGTTCATCACAAAAATAAAACGTAAAAGACATTTTCTAAGCAAGTACTTTATGTCTACGAGAAATTTTAAAATTTATTTAGCGCATTTCGATAACGTTTATAAAAAAAACTGATCCAAACTTAATTCGAACTCTCGTTTAAAATGACTGGAAAAATAACTTAATTTGTGTATACGATCTAGTGTCTTGATAAGTAAACCACTTACCACAAACAACATGCTCCGCGGCATCTCCTTAAGGGTGCCCATGATGAGCTCAAAGTTCTTCCTGGCCACCTCCTGCATGTGATCGATGTCCTCCTGCGAGAGTTTTCCCCTAATGCGACCTCCTCGAATTCGAATAGGCTGTTGGAAAAGCACCTCGGCGAATCGCATGTAGTCACCTATGCCAATCTTCTCGGCGGCGGCCTGCATCTTGGCCTCATTGCGCAGCACGGTGGCCTCCCAGAATTCGCACAGTGGTCCCCGCACATTCTGAGGCAGTTCTTCGTAAAGGCCATGGTCCAGCAAGATAATGTCTGCTCGGCCATTTTTACTATTTGGTCGCACAAAAACTATAAGCAATAAACAAAACAAATAATAAGAAATTAAAATATTTTGATTTTCATAAAATAACCTACTGTTTCCTGGATGGGGATCGGCGTGCACGAAGCCAGTGTAGAAAATCTGCTCAGCAAAGGTATTGAAAAGCTTAACGTCAATGTCCTTTAGGTTCAGTTTTTGCTTGGCTATCGCCTCAAGATCGTTAATCTTACACCCTTCCATCCATTCAAGAGTAAGAACACGCTGTAAATAATTTAAAAATTAAGTTAGGAATTTAATACGCTTTTATGTATTATAATAAATTAAACTGAAGGCTTCTTAAATAATTATTTTCTTAAAATATGTAAAACTGGTTTTCTTATACATTTAAATAGATAACTTTTTAAACTGGAAAACTTTTTAAGTTTATATTTTTCTTTAAAAGTCTATTACAACTTATATTTAAAAAAAAAAGCTGTCTACTTTTTAAGCAATTATATTTTTTTAAAAATTATAACGAGTTAAAAATGGTTTTTTTATAAGTATTTGAATATATAAAATCGAAGACTTCTTAAATTTATATTTTTTTTATTAATAATCTATTAGAATTTATTTTTCACAAAAAGTAAGTATATTAAACATCTATAATTGGTAAGATTGGGAAAAAAATTCTGTATTAAAACAATTTAATATTTATTGAATAGCTTTATATTACTTTCTTAAGAACTCACAGTTTTTGTGTGCGACCAGTGGACTTTGGGAACATGGACATAGCTGAACTTCGCCATGTCCTTGGCGCAGCGCTCGGCATTGTGACCCTCCTGCAGGAAGTTCAGCTCCAGCACTAGGTTCTTCCGCAGGTCATTGAGGATCCAGCCGAAGTTGTAGTCCTTGAAGAAGAACTCGATGATGTCCTGCAGGAAGATGATGGTGCCCAGGTCGCTGATGAACCGCTTCTGCAGGTCATTGTACTGCACCTTGACGGCCACCTGCTCGCCGCTGGGCAGCCGTGCCTTGAAGACCTGCGCCAAACTGGCGGCCGCCACGGGCTGGTAGTCGAACTCCTGGTAGATCTCCTCAGGCAGCTGGCCAAAGTCGCGGCGAAATACCTTCTGCACATCGGACTGACTGGTGGGCAGACAGCGATCCTGCAGTCGGGACAGTGTGCTGGTGTACTCCACGGGCAGGATGTGGTTGATGGCCGCGAATCCCTGGCCCACCTTGATGTACAGGCCGCCGTTGAGCAGGCACGTCTCCAGCAGTCGCTCGGCGCTCTTTTGGTGCAGCACCTTCACCTTGCTCTCGTACTCCGGATCGTTCTCGTCCAGCCGCAGATAGTCGGCGGCAATCAGTGCGGCGGTTTTGAGGGACCGCACAAATCGCACAGAGGCCCCGCAGTAGGTGAAGTCATTCACCCAGCCATCGTAGCCAATGGCTCCGGCTCCGGCCGCCAGGAGACCTAGTCTCAGCAGGGGAAGACCTTTCTTGGGTGTGTGAGCTTCCCCCTGGAGTAGTCTTCTTTCTCCAATTCGACCACCCAAGCTCAACAGCTGCCGCAACCGCTAAGGGATTGTAAGAGTTATGATTACCTTCTTTTTAAGGTGCTTCTAAGATAGACAACTTACCTGGAGAGATCGCATTTTCCGTCTTAGCCCTTAAGCCACCTGTCGTGTTATCAGCTGGGGATTCCAATCAGCTGTTTTTGGAGCCGCCGTACCGATGACAATAACGCGATGATGGGGCAACATCGTCGCACGCCCATTTGGCCGTATGGGAAAATTTAAATCGGTTGCTGACTGCCAGAAAACTGTTATCAAAAAACGTGAAGAGAAGTTCAGTGCTCATTTGATACAAATAATAAAAAAATAATAAAGAAATAATGGTTATAGAATATGTACTCACGATTTTACCGGCATATAGTTAACAAGTTTTTATAATTTGTTGAAAAGAAAGACCGTTTGTTTGTTCTCTAAGTCTTACGAAAAACTTGAAAAACTCATAAGATTAGCTTAAGTTTTTTATATTTAGTATGCTGATTTGAGTCATACTTACAGCTTTTCTTTATTTTATTTATAAATGCACTTCGTTTCGCAGTCTGAGATCTTTTTATATTTAGTTTGTAAAAGCACCATGCTTACGAAATGAAGATCACAAGATTAGATCTTTATTTTAAGTATTAAATTACTACTTTCTCCATATTTATTTCAAGAAAGATGGCAAAAGTCCCTATGAAGTAGTTCCATTAATTAATAGCTAGATGCAAAGCACAATTTTAATAGATGAACAATAGTTCATTGGCTGCTGCTTAGGTACATTGGTGGTTGTTGTTTCTTTTGGTGATTTTTGTGGGCCTCCAGTGGAATGGCCACTACCGCTTACAGAGGAGTAGCGAAAATCATCCTAGAGAAAGTAATCCGCTTGCAGCTTTTTGGTGGGAACGACACGATGTTCCTGTGAAGCATCCCGAAAGATGACAAAGTCGCGGCTGTGGCCGTCATTGTCCAGTAGCAGAACGGCCGCCACATTGCCGCAGCTGCAAAGGGAACACAGGAAACTGTTGTTAAAGAACTTAATGGAAGTTGGAGCGGTGTACCAACCGATAGCAGTAGTTGGGAGCTGACCAGACGGTCAGGACGGATTGATTGAAGTGATACTTGTAGCCCTCCATCACCAGCTGGTGGGCTCGGCAAATCAGGTCCAAATTGTTGGAGTGGTTGAACTCGTCGACCACATCCCCGCCGAAGAGGTAGCCAGCCCCTCGTGGCGACACTCCCCAGCCCACCTGGTCCTCCGGATCGCTCCAGAGCAGATCGCACATGGGTCCCTCGTGCGGCACCTCCTGTTTGCGGTCGAGGCAGCGGATTTGGTCCAGGAACTGGATGGCTGGCGACAGGCCGCCGTGGACGCAGAATACCTTGCCACCGATGATGGCCGCCAGGCTGAGGTAGTCGAAGACATCCATGCATTGCATCCAAACTGCCGCAGAGCCGTACTTCTGCATGCACTCGTCGTAGAATCCATACACCTGGGTGATCTGACGGGACTCGTGATTCCCACGGATCAGGGCGATGCGGTCCGGATAGCGCACTTTAAGGGCCAGCAGGAGCAGGAATGTCTCCACGCTGTAGTAGCCCCTGTCCACAAAGTCGCCCATGAAGAGGAAGTTCTTCTCGGGCACACGACCGGCCACCTTGACCAGCTCCATCAAATCGTAGAACTGGCCGTGGATGTCGCCGCAAACGGTTACCGGCGTGTCCAGGCGTTGCACATTGCTCTCCTCCGCCAGGATTTCCCGGGCCTTGGCGCACAAGGAATTGACCTCGGCCTCCGTGATAAACTCGCAGCGCTGCAGTTGCTCAATCTGGCGGTCCAAGTCGCTCTGGTCAGTCATCTTGTATTTCCAAAAATGGCTTTCGATGATACCCGGCTGTAGGGAATAAGGTGATTTTGGATGAAGATGGGTTCTGAAAGTGATGAATCGTAGTAATGGATTCTGAAGTCCTTTAAATTGGATATCACAGGTCGAACGTCGTGGAATGATGTCTAATTTACCGTTCGCTTTAGTAACCGCCTACTGTGTTCCTTGCTTTCGAGTTTAAGGGCGCCATTTTGGGTACTCAGGCACATAAAGCTGTCAAACCATCGATTGAACTATCGATAGTGATAATATCGCGATAGTATCGATAGTACACAGTAAGCTTAACAACAAATATTTAGAAGATTTATTGTAAAAGGGGTTACCCTTTAATTTAAAAAAAAATGAAGTGTGTTCTTCCAGCGACCAAAATCAATAAAATTATTGGTTGGCAGTAAGCTAAAAATATGTGTCAGTGGAAGCAGCTTATAAATCACTTACAGTTAATTAATAAAAACTAAAATTATTTATGCAAATTTAAAACATAGGCAAATAAAATGTATAGATTTTAATTTAATTCCATCTACTTAAAAAAAAAACATTTAAATAAAAAAAAAGGTTATTGCGGCATATTTGAAATATAAAATAGTTTTCGGTATATACTTTGGCGAGCGTGTGGTGTATTTTAAAAGACCGCATTAGGTCACACTGTTTTTTTTGTTTCTTGGTTCTGCGTTTTTTCTGTTTGCGGCGACGGCGGCGCTTTTGAAGTGTGATTTTCAAGTGCTGGCAATTGTTTACATTACGCGCAGCCATCTTGTGCAGCCCAAGCGAACGCCGGACAGTGAACCAGTGCGCTCCACACCCTCGAGCAGCCAAGATGTCGGGCACCATACTGGAGAATTTGAGCGGCCGGAAGCTGTCCATATTGGTGGCCAGTTTGCTGGTGTGCCAGGTGCTGTGCTTCCTGCTGGGCGGTCTGTATGCCCCCCTGCCCGCCGGCCATGTCACCGTGCTGGGATCGCTGTGCCGCGAGGACCACGGCCGCCAGAATGACACCGGATTCCTGCTGTATTCCCGGGGGGCAGGTGCCTGCATCCCGGTGACGCCGGACGAGGTGGAGCGAGACTCCATGAAGATGGCTAACGAGCTGGTGCACGTCTTCCAGATGCCGCTGCCCCGGGACCTGCGCGACCTGGACTACTCCCGCTGGCAGCAGAACCTCATCGGAGTGCTGCAGGTGGAGTTCGGCTACGATTCCTCCTCGGAGCTGAGGGAACCGGTCCGGGAACTGCAGCTGACCATCGACATGCGGCTGGCCTACCGGAACAAGGGCGATCCGGACAACGGGTGGAAGCTGTATGCCCATGGCGTGGAGCATCGCTACCTGGACTGCTTGACTTCGCATGTGGGACCCGCGGAGACGATCTACTCCTGCGACATGATACCCCTGTTCGAGCTGGGCGCCCTGCACCACAGCTTCTACCTGCTGAATCTGCGCTTCCCGCTGGACACGCCACGCCAGACGAACCTGCAGTTCGGCCACATGCACGACCTCACACTGACCGCAATCCATCAAAACGGAGGATTCACCCAGATCTGGCTGCTGCTCAAGACGGTGCTGTTTCCCTTTGTGGTGGGCATCATGATCTGGTTCTGGCGCCGGGTGCACCTGCTGCAACGATCGCCTGCCCTGCTGGAGTACATGCTGATCTATCTGGGCGCCGCTCTGACCTTCCTCAACCTGCCGCTGGAGTACTTGTCGCTGGTCTACGAGATGCCCTACATGCTCCTGCTGAGTGACATCCGCCAGGGCATCTTCTACGCCATGCTGCTCTCCTTTTGGCTGGTCTTTGCCGGCGAGCACATGCTCATCCAGGATTCCCCGAACAAGTCAACCATCCGGTCGCGCTACTGGAAACATCTCTCCGCCGTCGTGGTCGGCTGCATCTCGCTGTTCGTCTTCGACATTTGCGAAAGGGGTGTGCAGCTGCGCAATCCGTTCTACTCCATCTGGACCACTCCGCTGGGCGTAAAGGTGGCCATGACCTTCATCGTGCTGGCCGGCGTTTCGGCGGCCATCTACTTCCTCTTCCTATGCTACATGATCTGGAAGGTGTTCAGGAACATTGGCGACAAGCGCACATCTCTGCCATCCATGTCCCAGGCACGTCGACTTCACTACGAAGGTAAGAGCTTCTTTGCCCATTTAATTGTTTAATCTCTTAAGTTATATTAACCTTTTTATAAATTTCTTTATTTGTTGAGTTTTTAACACAAAATAGCAAGATTGTTTTGTCAAAGTATACATCCGTTCTTAGTTAGCTTCGATAAAAGAGTAAAAAACTAAAATAGGTTCAGAACCAATCAATACTTTGCTAATATGAATAAATTTTGAATAAATCCTAGCCTATCTTGTAGAATCTGTGTGAGAATAATGTTTACTTTGAAATGTCGTTTAGTTTACTTAGATCAGCCGAAGGCACACTTGATAAAAACATCACATAATTGGTGGGAAGCTTTTGCCAGACTTTACGATTTTGTTTTAGAGAGATTTATTTCAATATTTGATGAAATTATCGAAAGTGAAGGTACGTCAAATAAACTTGTTACTAAAACAATTCGCTCATTGTTGTACTTTTTGTACTTACTTGCTCAATATCAAATCATAATACGCACTTTGAATAAAGTAATGTATATTCATCCCATCCGTATGTTTTATTTGTATGCTTTTATTTGTTGTCCTTGCCATGTCCTTATGTTGAATAATATTAAATTTAATTTAAATAACTACCAATTTTTCTTAAAAGGCCTGATTTACCGCTTCAAATTCTTGATGCTGGCCACCCTTGTTTGTGCTGCTCTGACTGTGGCCGGATTCGTCATGGGCCAAATGGCCGAGGGTCAATGGGATTGGAACGAAAACGTACAGATTCAGCCAACCTCCGCCTTTCTGACCGGCGTGTACGGCATGTGGAACATCTACATCTTCGCCCTGCTCATCCTGTACGCCCCCAGCCACAAGCAATGGCCCACCATGCACCACAGTGACGAGACCACGCAGTCCAACGAGAATATCGTGGCCTCGGCCGCCAGCGAGGAGATTGAGTTTAGCCACCTGCCATCCGACTCCAATCCCAGCGAGATCTCCTCTCTCACTTCGTTCACCCGGAAGGTGGCTTTTGATTAGGCGATGACACTCGGAATAACGATTTCAATTAGGTTGTGTGCCAATCACGTGCGATCACGATTTGGCCTGCAGCCGGAACGCTCCAAATGTGAGCTCATTTTATTACCATAGTCAGTAGCGTTTCTTGCCTAGTTTTGCATTATGTGCATTCGTCAACGCGATCAGCATTATTACTTACAATTAACGTATAGATTGTCTAGTTTCTTTTAGCATGCTCAAAGTGTACGATTTTACTAACTATATTTTGTATGTATGCCTCGGCAGTATTATCTATTGAAGTCCATTTTTTTAGCTCGTAAGTTTTAACATATTTATCGAAAAACATTTTATACACATACACATTTTAGTGTGATCCGATTTTATTTGACAAAAGACTTTGTCTTGCCAACTTCCATGTCCAATATCAGAAAGGCCAAATTGTCCAGAGAACACATTTAACTCAAACATTTTTAAATTTACTATACATTGAGCCCACTCTGGCCAGAATTTTTCAACTAAAACGTAGAGCAATTTCTTACTCAAGTAGCAATGCATCAAATAAAAAGCAATATTGAAAATGCCGAACGGTTTATTATTTTGCAAATGCTGAATACGTACATGAAAACGTAAGGAATGCAGTGTTAAGGAACTACCAAATGATCCTTTGAGGAGTTTGGTAGTTTTGCCAGTAGAACTCCTTGGTGAAGTACACGTAGAAGGTGGCGACATTGAGGAGCAGATGGGCGCCCAGTTCCAGCCACTCGGCGAATCCCTTGCGTGTGTGCCGCGTATTCAGCCGGAAGAGAATGTAGGGCACCAGGAAGTAGCGCAGCTCCAGGAGTCGCTGGAAGCACAGCACCAGGAAGAGACTGAGCGGGAACATCAGCTTGAAGCTGTCCGGCATGTGACGCAGCCCGCAGAAGAGTACGCAAATGGAGAGCAGGTACACTGGGACCATGGCGTACTTGAACCACCAGAACCGTCCGTACAGTCGGCTCCAAATGTAGAAGGTGTAGTGTCTGTTGTCGGCCAGCAGGTAGGGATGCATCTCGGTGTTCAAGTGAACTACCACTACTATTAGCAGCATCGCCATCAGGAACAACAAGCGATTCCTGCGGATCAGTTCCACTGCTGGACGAAACTGGCGCATCGTGTTGGATATCCCAAAGCCAGCCGCAAAAACGGCGAAGTAGAAGAGCTGCGGCACATGCAGACTGGCCTCATGGGCACTCTTGTCGCCCACCACAATGGAGCCGTTGATGCACAGGAATCCCACGAAGGGCAGAATGATCGAGGCGTAGAAGCAGCACTTGGCCAGGATGCTCAGTATGCAATTACACACCAACTGGGGGCTGCTGAAGAGTTGTATCCACAACTGAAAAATAGGTAAAGTAAACAATTTGAGAGGGTACACAATAATATGTGTATCACTTAGTACAAAATATCAAAACGTGCATAAACAATCTTTTATGATTGGTAATAAAAATTGCAAATCTTCGGGGGAATTTAATAGATTCTGGGAAATTTAAGCTTGAGTAAACTTTTGATTTTAAGGCATTGATTTATTTTCCATAAACTAATGTAAGCATTTATATTGCCTAGCTGATTTAACTATAAAATACATAAGATATTTAGGACTGGCATATGTATCTTGATACATATATTTTAAAAATAAAACAAATCAAGAGTAAACAGTAATATTTGCTTAAGTAAGTTTAAATTTTTAAAAATTCCGAAAGGTTTTGGCAAGTTTTAGCATTCTTTGCAATTAAACTTTTGGCATTACTGAATTTACTTATTAAGCTGATTTATAGGTGAAAGTGGTTTACTTATATTGGAACTGTCTTTTTAAAACAAATGAATGTCTTATTTATACAAAATCGCGAGACGAGGATTAGTCAGTAGTTGTTGAAAATCTCTGTTTTAGAGGTAAATGCTTTTCGTGTATCGAGAATCGACCCACCTCTTTGCCCATCAGCCGGATTTTGTCCCTGGGAAGGGAACGTGTGCGGGCGCACTGTTGGACCAGTGTGTCCAGCACGGTCATTCCGGTGGCCATGCAGACCCACACGATGTTCGTCTGGCGCATGAGCACACTGGCCGCTCCGAAGACCGCCGCCGGCAGGTGCGCCTCCTGCTGCCAATAGTTGTAGAACAGGAGCACCATGGTCAGCGACAGGGTGTCCGTGTAGTACAGGTGACTGAAGAAGTAGAGTGGCGGCAGCACGGACATGGTGATGGCCTCATGGGCGGCATACGAGTTGCCCCCCGAGCCGGCCAAAATGCGCCGCCTGATCTTGTAGAGCAGCAGAATGTTGATTCCGGCGCCGACCAAGCTCAGCATTCTCAAGCCCGTGACCGTGCACAGGTTCAAAGGATTCAGGACGAGGGCGATCAGGTACAAGCCCGGAAATGTCGTTATCTTCTGATCCCACTGCAAGAGGAGGGGAATTGGTCGAACTGGTCATAGACTTCTCCACTTCATCCCTTTACCACATCGAATTCCTTGCGGCAAAAGGCCAATCCCTGCGGGATGTGGAACTCCTCATCGATTACGTAGTCCGCGGTGCCGTTCACCCGCAGAAACAGGGGCAGCGAGTAGAGCACAAAGCCCACGGGCAGGACCAGTTTCCAGGACCCGTTCATGATCCACTTCCTCCTTAAAAAAATAGAGCTCCAATTGTTTGTTTATTTTTGGATCGAACCAGCCGGCAACACATGGGAATGCACTAACGCCTCGCCGCAGCCAGAAATGACCGTAAAAATGACATCGAAAAATACCAAATGCGTCATTAGAGGGGCATTTACAAAACTGGAATACGGACTGTCCAGCGGCTTACTGTTTGTTTTTATTGAAAAAAATTATAAAATTATTCAAGAATTGACGTCGTCGCTAATAGATTTAAACGATGATTGCCTCGCCCGCATTTTGAGCTATTGCACCCGTTTCCGCTGTGTCTTATTGGATTACGGCAAGAGTCGCTATAGAAAAGTGAAACTAACCGGATGTCAGGATGAGTTGCTTCTAATAAAAGTTGTTGGCGATGTCGTAATAGATCTGTACTTCAAATATAATGAATTTAGTACCGAATATAAGCCGGATATTCTATGCAAAGCTATAAAATGTATGAACAATCTGGAATACGCTATTTGGACACTTACCTGCCCGCCATCAAGATTCACTTTCGGGGCCATAGTCCAGACTTTGGAAAAACTGCCCTTTCTTAAGGACATCACGGTTCTTCAAAACAGCCAATTCCTTGACATCTACGGTAGACCGCGTGGTCTGATGTGGGTACCATCCGTAATGTACCACTATCCAACGGATATCCTGTCTAATCTTCGGTTATCCAACTCCAGTCTCCCAACAAACGACTGGAGGGTCATCATTCTGAAAGCCACCAAAGGTGCCAGTAAGCAAGTGATCCTTATTTTCAATAAGGAATCCCTAGCTCCAATCGAAGAAGCGGGAGGAAAGCTACGGTTTGGTCTCAATACGGTATACGTTAGGAACGTTAAGAATAATCAATCAATTATCAAGGATCAAACGGATTTTAATAGCTCCTGATGTGTTCCAAAGCAGCTTTAAGTTTGGTCTCCCCCAGTGCCTTAAATCAATAACTTTTTTAAATTTTAATATAAATTGTTAATTAACAAATGACATCTCTACTAAATGAATGTCTCGCTTGAATATTGAGCCATCTGACCATGAAGGATCACTTAAAATTTCGCCCATGTGTGCATTCGCTTTCAAAATGTCTTCTGGGATTATGGTAAGAGTCTCTATAAGAGACTGGAACTTACCGGATCACAATGAGTTTCATAGCATCCATAAGAGACCTCGCTTCAGCAATGCAACCGCAGTCTTCCAACACACGACTGGAGAGTTATTAACCTAACACGATAAGGAATCCATAGCTATAATCAACATTGGCTTCACTGAAAGCTGATAACTCCAGCGGACACTGACAATTTGAAATTATAAAACTGAGAGATCCTAGTTAAGCAATGGTCCATCATACTTGCAGCTTCCATTAAATGTCCATATAAGGTAGGTCTTTTTTAACATTTTGGATTAAATTATATTACTTACAGATCAATAGTCACTCCCCCTTTTGGACGAACATCCCATTAAGATTCCGTTACAATTGTGAACTTTATAAGGTTTATTAATCATTATGGTATTTGAATATACATTTCGAACTTTAACATAGAAGTACATACAAACAGAATGTTTAACAAACAGTACGACTTAATGACTACCAAATTGTCCAGGCCCATTGGCAACTGGAGGATCTAACTGATAATGCCTTTTCTACTTTATACTTTATTTGTATATGCTTTATATAAAAACGTGTGATTTTGTATCGATTGCGTTGTTGTGTGTTTGCTGTGAATAAGAGTGGTGTGGCTGGAGCTTTCGGTTCGTCCGGCTAACCAATTGGTCACAGGGAAAACTCCACCTTCCGCTGTCGTTGCTACTTGTTCACACTCTTATAAATCATTGGGGCCGATCGATCGTTCGTCTTGGTGTGCCGCAACTTGACCGTGGCGAACTGAGAGGCTCTGCAAAAGATCAAGGACGTGTCCGGATGAGGAAGGCGATCCCCAAGCGATGGCGAGGGGAAAATAACCTCTACTTACGGCTGGAAAAAGGCAACCTAATACGGGGAATGGTGGGGCTAGCTGGGATACACGTACACGGACTCGTTACTGGTCAGTAATCTATGGAATAGTTGCGGTAAATACCGCGCCTGCTGCAAAAAGCAATTTACGTTTGCATTATTCCGACTAACAAATCGTGAAATGAGGTCTTAAGCGAATTAAATTTAATGATATGCATGCAGGCACCAAAACTATAGGATAGAATGTTCACATGGAGAGGTCCTTGTTCTTTGAAGTTTCCTCTGCCTTTGCTGGCAACACACACGAGTATTTAAATAGCTTTTAAAATTATTATAAGATATGTACATAGAACAAACAAAACAGAACTTGCCTAGGACTAAAACTATCAAATTATACAGGGTAAATAATGCTTAACTCAAACGAAGGAAACAAGGCAAACTGAAAAAGTTGCACTTTCCTTCCACCCACTCTCTGCCCATTTTCTTAGCCCGTAAGAAGACGGCGAAACTCTGGTATATCAACTGTTCCGTACTCGCAACCCTTTCCCTTCTTCTTCCCTTCTACTTCAGCTTGGCACTCGCCGACTTCTGGCCATGCTGCTCCTGATCCCAGAAGTCGTACCATGGTCCATAGCTCTTGTTCCCGGCCAGACTCTTTGAGTTGCGCTCCAAGGTGGCACTGCTGCTGCTCATGTTATTGCTGGCGGAGGCGGAAACGGAGGCTGAGGACTTGAGGAGGCGTGTTCGCGGCAGGATGGTGGCCGTTGGAGCACCCGAACTGGCCGTGGAGTTGCGGGTCAGAGTGCTGTCCTGCTCCTGCTTGGCGGAGCCCTTCTTCAGCGTATTGGTCGCCGTGGTGGATGTGGAGGAGCGGAACGTATGGAACTCCATCTGCTGGTGCTGCTGCTGCTGCTGGTGATGTCGGCGCATCTTGTCGTCCTTTCGCACCAGATGATCGTTGATCACAATACAGTCGTAGGGATCGGAACTGGTCGACTTCAGCTCCGTATCGGACTCCTCCTCGTCCTCGCTGGTATAGTACTGCTTGAGGATGTCCTGTCGCTTCACCGTCTTCATGACCAGTCCATGGCCATGGCTGTTGTTCTTGCCCTCGTCGAAGAAGTTGTTCACATCGCTGAGCTTCAGTGTGCCATGCTCATCGCTGTCACCCTCGTCCGTGGACTGCGGAAATTGCTGCTGGTGCTGCTGATGCTGCTGCTGGGATGGCTTGGAACGACTCAAAGTCTGCGATTTGTGCTGTGACCCTGTGCCGGACACCTGTTTGTCCAGCTTGCGATGCGACTGATGCTGCTGCTGCTGCTGCTGCTGATCCTGCGACTGACCACGTCGCATGGTGCTCATTCGCTCCGCATCCGTGGGCTCCTCAATGTCAATCTCTATGGTCTTCATGATCTTCATGCGCGACTTGGGCGTATAGCTGCTCCTCTGTTGTTGCTGCTGCTGCTGTTGATGCTGTGGCGGCTGCTGTGGACTCACCCCGTAGATATTCTCATCCTCATCTGCGTAGAGCTCGGTGCTGGTCAGGCTGTCCTTGCGTTCTCGCTTCTCCTGCGACGAACTGGAGTTGTGTGACTTGGTCAGCGTACCATTGCGCTCCTCGTCGGAGCGCCGCTCCAAATCATCGCGATCGCGCATCTCCTCTAGATTCGGGGCGGCCACCAGGTCGCGGTGCTGCCACAATGACATGCCGGCCAGGATGTCCTCGCCACTGCGTCCGCCTCCGAATTTCCAAAAGGATTTGGTACGCTTCAGCCCGGCACTGGATGCCTGCAGGATCTCGTCATCGGAGGCGATCAGATCGTACCGCATCTTGCCCACTCCACCGCTCTGCCGGCTCAAACGATGCAGACTCTTGTCGTCGATCTGGCTGTCAACGCTGTTCCGGAAGTTCCGGTTTAGCGTCCACGAGGCCACATCCCTGGGCACCGTGTTGGTGTGCGAATTGGTGTCCGCCCGACGTCTACTTTATTGCGTATTTCGCAGTATTTCGTGGTGGTGGTGGTGGTGGTGGTGTGTGATTGGATTGATTGTTGTTTGGGTGTGCGTGTGTTTTTGGGTGCATTTTTTGGGTGGTTAACACAAAGGATGACAACAGGGCATAATGGCGATACATGAAATCAAACAAGAACGAAATAGAAGCAAATGAAAATAAATAAATTCAATTAAAGTAAGCACTTAAAATCAGGCAGTAAATGGAAAAATAGCGACTTAAGTTACATGGCCTATATGCTAATTAGGATTAGTGACAAGGAAGAGAGAAAAAGCGGTGATGCAGTGGCTTGTCTTGGAGAGCAAAAATCAAACTTTAATTGAAAACATACATATTTAACAAAATTTAATACTTTGAAATATTTGAATTATTTTAAAAACCTTAGTTTGTGTTTAAAATATCCTAAGTGCCAAAGTGCTATTTAAAACATAACTCTACTCTAATATAATATCTTTTTTAATAATATTAATTCTAATGATAATGTATTTAAGGATCGTTTAATATTTTTTAAAATTTATTTTTATATTTATAAACCTCTATTTCTGCTCTCCAAGCCTTTACTTACAATTACTTTTGATTAAACTCTAAAAGACGGCACTCTATAAAGCTTTCAATTAAACTAAGGTTCACTCTAGGTTTTTTTTTTGTTTTTTAAATAATTTAGCCCGTCTTCTAGAGTTCTGAAGTATATTTGTTCCACCTACCGAATGGGCACTCGCTGTGTGGCTGGCTCCTCATCGGAATAGTCCACTTCCGGCTGCGGTGGTGGCTCATTGGCGAATCCACTGTCATTGCTGCTGTGCAGCGAGGTCTTGGCAGCCACTCCGGATTTACCAGACGGATGACTCTTGGAGCTCTGGGGGGTAAACATTGTTATTCAGGGTTTCCTCAATACCATCGAAATGAACTTTACCTGCACACCATTTAGCAGCTTTTGCTTGCGTCTCTCCACCGCCGCCGTGACTCCTCCGTTGGAGGCGCAAAAACTCTGCGAGCTGTTCAACATCCTGGAGGACTGGCTCTGCTGGCCATTGGGCACCGGAGCGGGCAGTGTGGGCGGTGGACCCGGGCGCGGATTGACTCCGGATCCGGGGCGGTACTTCTTCTGCTGTTTGATCGTATCCCCAAACATTCGCGTGGGCGATGACTCCTCGGCACTGTGATTCCTTCGCCGCCGATACGTGGCCTCGTGGCTCTCCATCAGCTCGAGCTGCGCTTCGTAGTCCTGCTGCTGCTGCTGCTGATAGCTACGCAGCCCTGCACCGCCGGAACCGGATCCCGATCCGCCGCCATTCCGCTCGTAGCTCATCAGCATGTTCTCGTACCGCCGACCGCCCGATGTGGCCGCCTCCGAGGATTCCGCATTGGTGTAGGCCACCGGGAACCAGCCAAAGTGCTGCGTCCGCAGGTTCTCGCCGAACTGCCAGCCCTTGGCCTTGCCGCCCACCAGGGCGATGCGGTCGCCCTCCTCGAAGGGCAGCTGGTTCTCCCCGGAGGGCATGTACGCGTACAGGGCCTTCACCAATGGACGCTGATCGCCGCGCTGATCGTCGCCCAACGGCGACAGCTGCTCCTCAATGATCTTGTGTTTGTTGCCTGTTAAGCGAAGGGAAAATTTTATAAATATTTAAAATTTAATGAGGATAAAATTCAGGTAAAAGTATAAATGGAATTTAAATTTAAAGGAAAACCTCTACTGAAAACCCACCTGAGCTATGGCCAGTGCCCACCAAAGCCAAATTGAAGTCGGATTTGGCACGTGGCAGCGAGTTTTGGGCGTAGTGCGAGGCCCCAGTGACTCCCATTCCGGAAATGTTTTCCCGCTCGTGCAAGGTCCGCATATCACCATATGGGGCATCGATGCTACGCGACTTCTTCAGCTGGGCGCCGTGGCTCTGGAGGTGCTCATCGTCTCCGTCCTTAATACGTTCCTGTTCAAAGAAACACAATTTCGGTAAGTGAAGGTCCTTCTCATTAACATAGATTAATATTATTTATTTAATAAATTATTATAAAATTAGTTTTCGTTGAAATCTAAGCCGAAGTTTGGTTAAACTGTTTACGTAAGGAAAGGTCGTAAAAATAAAATAATTTTTAGATTTTTTGGAATTAAAAAGTGGTTCAAATATCATTTAAATATATACAAATGTTGGACATTATGTTGTTGCTTTCCATTTTATTTTAGCAAGATATTCTCTAAAAAAAAGACGTTTTTTTTATTTTTTTAACATTTTTAAAGTTTAATAAAAAAATGAAATTTATTTTGAATTTATTGTTGAACTTAATTTTATTCAACCATTTTCTAGGTAATACAAAGATTTGTAGTTTCTGTCTTATTTTGATTGTATGGAAAGTGGAAGAGCAGCTTGGTTAACAGAGTGGTTATCACCCAATCGGATGGGATGGGATCGGATGAACATAATGGGCATGGACGGAGATGACTCACCAGGCGTCGCATGTTGCCGCTGTTGTTGTTGATGGCGATGTTGATGTTGTTGTGGCCATTGCTGCTGCTGTAGCCACTTTCGTACGCGGCCGGGGGAATGATCTCACGAGAAGCGGCAATCTCTTGCCAATTTTCGAAATTATTATCAATTACTGTCTTGCCGGTGGTGTGGTAGGCCATCCAGTGCTTGGCGATCGAGCACTGGCGCTCCAAGACGAATCCGTACCGTCGTCGCTCCTGTGTCATGGCCTTCTCGTCCAGAACGGAAGTGGGAAGGAGTGAAAGAAGCGTACATGGTAATAAATTTGTTATGTTTTTTTTTTGGGATTATTTTAATATTTTCTTAATATTTTGTAAAATAACATTTAATATAACAAGTAAAATGGGTGTATAAAAAATTTGCTTAGGTCTGAAATAAATGGACTCGGGGGGCATGATTAATAATTTTTGCAATAATGAATTCAAAAAACAAATTTACTAAACAGTAATACAAAAATGTAGCTTTAAATTAAGAACGTACAAATAAGAAAACGATCTTAAACTTTTCAAAACGGAATATTTGTCATTTGGCATCTTGTAGCTTCTACTTTAAAATTAACTTTAAATTGGATTAGCTTTTGATATGATTTTTTAAAGGATATCATTTTGTTTTCTGTGTAATGGGTGGATCAAGATTCGGCTTGCAGCCAACGAACAACTCACATTCTTGTAGCTCTGGTCGCAGAATACATCAAGCTTCTTCTTCTGGTCCTCGAGCAATTGGAGGCTCTGTGGGAAAGTGATGTTTTTTGGTGGCTCCTCACATCGATTGTAGGTATCCACTTACCCGCAGCTCCTTTTCGGTGTTCTCGGGCGTGGCCTTTTTCTTGCGCTGCTTCTTCATCGTGGAGACGGCCTTCTGGTAGCTCTCCATGCGCACCTTGTGCTGCTGCAGGAACTTCTTCTGCTCATGCTGCACCACCTTCGTGTCCTTCTCCAGATTTGTCTCCAATGGCACCAATAGATCCACGTAAAAAGCTTTTAGCTGAAACACAAAAAAATATGTTAATTTAAATGATGATATGATTTTTATCGGTTCGATACTTTATATATTTGATTCATATCCTAGCACATATTTTTAATAATAATGATAATAATAACCATTCAATCGGTTGCCTAATGTTTAAAATAAAATATGTATATTATCTCAAAAATCGTTTATGTATAATTTTAAAATATTGGGTTAACAATTATTTTCGAAAACTTTTCTTTTTAAATGGTGAAGTAGGAAGAGAATATTCATTTAAATTTTAATATTATCCAAAATATCTTGAAATAATTATGAACTTGCAAAAACCATATTTTTCCAGCAAAACTTAAATATAAATTGGTTAGTTTATTATTACTCACAATATTCATTTGCTGCTCCTGTATCTCCTTGTTGACATTTACAACGCTCATCAAAGCCGAACCTGAACAGAATAATAGTTAGGATCACATTAGGATTTATGACCAACCTCCGCACTGTCTTAAGGTCTTTTGCGGTCTCCATTTGAAGTCTTACCAATATCGCCCGTTCCGCTTTGCTGGGCGTTCATCGCAATCTTGGCCAATGCTTCATTGAATAGACGCGAGGCGGTTGCGGCACCTGTTGCATGAAATGGCACGGAATGCATTGCAAATTAGTTAACTGTACCCACTTGCAGCAGTCGATTATGGTGTTACTATACTATGTACATATACTACATATACATATATGATACATACCGTGCAACGCCTTGAGGTAGCTTTTGCCCGCCGCGATCAATTGCCTGGCACCCGGATTGAATCTGTCGAGTATGTTCTGCAATTGAGAGGAGATCGGAGATCGGAGATCGATGGCATCGTTAGTTCGGATATCCATAGGCGAGCTTATCGCACGGTTAATTAAATGTAATTTACTGGCCAGCATGCACCAACATTTCAATTTCATTAGTTATAAACATTTCCCCTCTCCCGTCCCACCCTTAAAAGTTGGTAATGGTTTTCCCCGTTTCGCCGCTGGCAGTAAAAGTCTGGTTGTATAAGTTAATTCGAGACAATGTTGTGGTCAGGCAGCGACATCATTAGTTCCGTGTAACCAACTGAACACACTCGTAATGCTAATTGTTCATTTAGCAATCTCCCATCTATGATTTAGCGGTGAATGCAAATGAAAGTTATCTGATGTATTGGAAAACAAGACGGCGGAATGCATTTTCAGTACTATGCATTTTCTGCAGCAAAAATAGATACTGATATCGCATTTCAAACAAAACATACAAATTTACTAGCTTAGCTGCAAATTTTTTAACCATTTTTTACGATATGAACATTCTGAAACGTAATCCCAATTAACCAGTTCACTTATCATTAGTATACTATCATAGCATTGTGAAACCTGTTCGGCAAATGAAGTCTGCGAAAATAAAGTTTGAATTTACTGGTTGCAGTTTTTTACTGTCGGTAGTAAAATGTTTATTAAACAAAGAATGAGGAAGACGTCCATTTAAATTTTTTGCTTCATAGCCTAACTCGTTTTCAAGTAGTTGATATTATTGAATAATATTAAGTGCTGCCTAACTAGAGCTAAATAGTTCGCTTTAACTAGTTTAGTTTAAAAAACTATTCCAAGTTCGTTTATTACTTTCTAACCAATCATAACTTAACTTTTGACCATAGCTTTAGAAAATATTTGAATTAAAACAACATTATCTGTACTTAAATATTCTTATTCAGCAAGCTCAATGGATCATCAATCATTATTTAACTTTGATCCCTTGATTTTTGTGGCCCTAACACCTTTAGTGATTTATCATCCGCAGAACTCCCCCATAAAAAAATCTATTTAAATATGCATTACACCATCTTCATAAATCTATTACTGGAAATGAGTCATATTAACAATAAATTGATCTGAGATAGGGACTCGGAAAATGCAAAACGATGAACAGGCAAACGACAATTAATTAACAACTTGGCACATGATTAGCATACAATTCGAGAGATGAAGGTGCATTACTGCGGGATGACGTGAATGGATGAATGTATGAATGGATTGTCATGTGGAAGGGAGGCTGACATCATCGGAGTGTTGACACCATAAAACACCACAAAACATGACAAAGACACACTTTGGTCCTGGGCTTGGCCTAAAGTTGAGTTGTCGTCCAGACAATGGCGAACATTTAACACGCAAACCCAAAAATGTGAATTCTCTATGGCCACAAAGCGTTTGCATTGTTCCAAAGACACATACTTTTTAATTGTGCGCTAGGAACTATACAAGATTTCGGACTAAGTATAATTGATTGTTGTTCTAGCCAAGAAATACTTTGGCACTCAATCACTTCCGGCCATGAGCTGATCAACAGCTTGGCACTCACGTCTGGCTACCGAATTCCTTGGCCCGAAAGTAATTAGCAACAAAATGTGAAATACCCATATGTAAACAAGGCATTCCGTGTGGAACAGTTCGGTTCGCTTGTGACTCGGGTTATTGCCAAATATTTACGCCTCGACATATTTGCTTCTCTAAATTTATTGGCCGCAAATGTGGCAGCAAGGCGTGGGAATGATTCGAGCCAGCACTCGAGATCATTTACTTAGATACTCAAATACTCAGATACTTAGATACTCAACTCCAAGGTCGTCGTCTACGTTTAACGATTCAACTTGCTCGAGTGTTTGCTTTTATGATCTACTAACTGGCTGATTTAGTTCGAAACTCCACTCTCAGATACAGATATCCACTGCAAGTAAATCTGCATTTCGGTGTATCTTCTAATGTTTATTTTACCTAAGTACTCTTGACTTTGCTGACCTCAGTGTAGTTGTTTTTAATTGTGATACAGATACCCAAGTAACTTCGTGGATTCAAGTGCGTTTTCGGAGGCCTTTGGGGCTCAACGTTTATGGGTTTATCAATGTTAATTGTTTCGTTTTTCTGCGCTTTGCGGTAAACACATTTTGTGGTTAAATGCAATCAATGTTTTGGGTTTGCTCTGTGGGAATTGACTTGGGACTTACCCTCCAATTGTTAAATGATTATACCCTTGATAGTAATTATGGCAACAGATTATAAAATCAGTGAGGTTTTGTAAAAATATTTAAAACAATACACAAATTTGACCAACAAAATAAACACTTTAAATCAATTTTTATAAAATTTTAAAAAAGATTTTTAGAAAAGATTGAATGATTGTGGTAAAGGGAGTATTTAAAATTAACTTTTGAAATGCATCAATACTATATTTTACTTGCTTTATAATTTAAATATGGTTTTACTTCTAATTTAATAACCATGGTACGAGTCAGGTTTCCTTTAAATGCGATGTCTATCAGCTCGTGTAATTGGCCTAACGGCTTAACAAATTCCTGCTCGTTCGAACCAGCAATTAACATTTCTCCTTGCTCACCCACTCATGGCCAAATGCTGACGTAATCGCTTATCACGCCCGCGAATCTGCGAACCACCGACAACACTTAACCCGAAATTAATTGAGGTAGTCTTGCCCAGTGAAGTACAGTACCCAGATCACAATCCCAATACCATTCCCAATCCCCATTTGAAAACCCAGGCCCAAACCCAAATTTGGTCTCTAATCGTCGCTTAACATAAATCGCCACCAGTGGAGCGCCACACACATGTAATTTTTTTTAATTAAAACAGAGACTAAATGCAAAGCATAACACGAAAGCCTCCCATTTGCTTAAAACAGCCAACGAGGCGGAATGTTGAGCGGTACACTGAGCAAAACAGTCTTAATATTTTTATTACTAATTTGGAAATTATAAATGACACTGAAAAAGTCTAAAGTCTTGGCTTAAAATATAAATAAATCCCAAAACTTTTTAGAAATCACAAAAACAAAAAAAGGTCCAAATCTTATTAATACACACTACAGTACTGTTTAACTTAGTAACTTTAAATAATAAGTACTTTTCAAGCTATTCTTGAAAGGTACTACATTGCAACAATCATTATTTTATAAAATCACTAACAAAAGGTAATAAAAAAATATACATACATATTTGGATAAGTGCTTTTGTTTCATTACTTTTTAGTGCCACAAGTGCTACAAGCAAGTGAAATAATAATATACCGCAAAATTACGTTTTTTTAAGTCCTTAGAGGCGATTGAATAGTACATAAAAATCATATTTTAATGGTAGTTTTAAGCTTACTTTTTTTTCGGTGTCTTATGGGTAGTGAGGATAGGGACAACGGGGGGCATTTGGAGAGCCTCTTTCGGGTTAGGCCATAATTTAACGACGCCAGCGAGCGACACACCCACCGCAGAGCATGCGAGAATGCACCACTACACCTCTACATCACTAGCCGAAACAACAACAGTAAACCGCAATTATGCCAATTAGAAACCAACAAATGCAAAAAGCAACACGCAACAGGTTTGCCGGCAACAATTCAACATTCAACATTGGCGATGGCGATGGCGATGGCAACCCAAGTCAACTGTTGACAAAACCTCAACGAAGGCGTCAAGGCGCAACCAGTCACGCCTTCTTTTTTCGGGGGAAGAGGGTTTGTGGTTCGAGGTTCCAGGGAGTGCTAAATTATCCCCCGTCCACATCCCCCACTCTACGACAAGATAAACGCAAAGTGCGTGAAAAATGCTAAATGTAAATAATTCTCGCTTGCGTGACTTCTTCCCAGGCAGTTGGAAAACCAGCTCAAATGAAATTGTTGTAATTTTGTCTAAGCGAAGACTAGATGTCCTTGGCGATAGGGAAATATATATATGAAGGTAGGACATGCCAATTGGACTTTAAGGATGATCAGCTTAAGTTTTAGTTTATCTATACCATTAATGCTTTGGCTCACAAAATGTTTGGAAAACTCATTGAAATTAAAAGGGATATTGATTTTCTTGACTCCCCTGTATAATTTTGTATTTGTTTTTTAAATAGTTCTAATAAAATGTTCAACCAGTCTTAACAAAAACTATGTTTACATGTCAAACTACTATTGAGATCAATTTCGCTTAGGCGTTTGTCATAATCCACACAATCCTATCATCGGTAAGAGTACATGAGAAATGGACCCACTGGGATTGGTAGGGCTTCTCGCCGGCGAGTCGGACGTTAACCCACTTCCATTTGCCATGGTCATACCTGTGCTCATGCCCAAGCCCAAGACCAAGTAACCCCCCCGGATCCCCTCCATCCAGTCGATGTGACATCGTTCCGAGTGGCGTCGGCCCCTCTAATGCAGCAGCCTTAGAAATGCCTTTCAAACATGGCAATCAGCTGCAAGTTACCAGTTCCCAGTTGCCAGTGTGTAGTCCATGGTCCGAGGTGCACACTTGCCGCCTCTTTTTACAGCTCCAATCCTCCAATTCTCCAATCCTCCGTCTGTGGGCATTAGGTGGCTGCAATTTTAATTTATTTCCACGTTTCTTGCTGGGAGCTTCAGCACATCGGACACCTTCGTCGTCCCATGTGTATGCACCATGCTGGGTGCCAAACTCTTGAGGGGCTTCACCTCCTGCTCCGACTGCCCCTTTTTTTTTTTTTTTTTCTTGCCCCAGCAGGTTGGCTTTTGTGTGGTCAGCTGGATGTCATTCTGATCCAATCACTGGCGGCAGGCTCTCACAGTGGCTTCGGTTTCGATTTATGTTGCGGGGAATGTGCCATAAATCTAAGCGAATGACAAACAATCCGAAGGCATTCATCGCCAACGCCAGTTTGCAGGCAGCTGTTTGAATGAAATGCGTTTTAAGCATCGACTTGACGGCCCAACTTGCGGTTTTATTCACTTGGAAACAAATATGTGGATTCACGTGAGAGGAAAACTGGTTGTTGGGGTTCTGTATGTTATACTTTAATGGGCAATAAAGCAAAAACAATAAAATTACCATGTTGACTCACAAAGAAAATATATTATGAACATTTTTAAGGCTTAAGAGTTGCTTATTTTAAATTCAATAAACCAATAACAACCAATCTTTTAAATTTAATAAAATTTACTGATTATATTTTTAAAAGAGTTTAAAAAAAAATTCATAATTTTTAGATAAATATATTTAAAAGGGAAAGTGAAAGCGGCTATTGCAATTATCTCTTGAGTACATCTCTCAACCAACTTTACTCGTTTGCCATTCAAGATATATGGTTGAACAGAGTACAAGATTTATTACGGGTGCGAGCAAAAAAATTAAGCAAGTTTCATAAATTACAACGAAGCTGTTAAATTATATAAGCATTTGAGTACACAAGAGATCTAAATTAATCATTTTAAAACATAAAACTGCAACGAGAATAACAATAATTTATAAATACAGCGGAAACGAATAATTTACATCTTTTGTACAAAATAAACAATGCAAAATGACAAAGCAAAAAGTATTTTGCAATATTTTATTAGTTGTAAGCACTCGACTCTTATTTTTTCTAGAAATTTAAATTTTCATTGATAGATCAATCAATTAACTAATGAGCAGTAGAATTCCACATCTCTGCTCCATTTGCATACCCGTATATGCAGAAACCCTCCCAAAAAAGTTAAGTGTGTCAATTTTAGAAAGGCCAAATCGCGACTCTGAATAAAGATAAGCAAAAGCGGTCTGCTAATGAGTTGAGAATAGCCAGCCGAAAAACGAATGCTATCGAATTAATTAAAACCCGTTCAAGAACTTGCACAGACCAACCCAGAAGTGAGTTCACACAGTTCCAGACAACAAAAAAAAAAAACAGACAGGCTATCTATTAAGCCAAACGAGACAAAAAAAAAATGCAGTTAAAAAGAAAAAATGCGAAAATGAAATGTTGATATAATAAATCGATTGATAGACCAGTTCAGCCAGAGAATTCAAGACAATTGCGCATAAATCATAGCGAATTAACTCATAATCTGTTGTGTGTTGAGGAAGTGACTTCAGTTGATTGATGCACGGCCATTGAGACTCCCATTCCCATTCCAATTCCAATTCCGATTTCTTCCTGCCATTGACAGAGCGAGTTCGTTTCCTCAGTCTTTCGTTTGCACTCGTGTTTGTCAAGTGGGCCCCAACCCACTAATTAAAACAGCCAGCAGCACCCATTTATTCGATTTACATTACACGGTTGCGACGCTGTCACAAATATATACAATAATTGTGCGAAAAAAAAAAACATAAATAAAAACACCAGCGGGAAAAATGCAAATGCTGGTCGCGAAAATGCAGCCATGTGCAACAAACTGCCAAGGAAGCAGCCCAAAAACAAAATTTCCGCAATTTCAAGCGGCAGAAACCGCAGAAACAGCAAAAGCAACAGCAAGTTTTCAAAGGAAAAAAAAACTTAAAGTTACATAATGAAATAGATGCGCGAAATGTGCAATACGCCTCAACTTGGGGCAGATGCAACCGAAGCGCTGCAAAAATGAAAAAGAGAAGCCGAAACTTGCCAAACTCTCGAGGCGGAGTCGTCGCGTCTGTCGTCGACTTGGGATGATTTCGGGGGATTCGCAAACAAACAAATCAAATCCCCAATTGAACTCGTTTGCTCGACTGGATATATACGGGCCGTTGCCAGACGAATGTAGGTATATATGGCCAGAAATGTATGCCGAAAAATACCACTCAGCCACCGTATGTCGTGACCAAATTTGGCTACGAATTTTACAGCAACAGTAACAGCAACAGCAGCCCAATCGACAAGACAAAATTCACTTTCAAATGTATCTTTGCCATTTTTATCGGGAAATATTTGTGGCTCTCTGTTTCTGGCTATGATTTAATCACCCTTTTTAAGTGGTAGTTGAAACTTAAGCTCAACTTTGTTAGCTGCACATCAATAAATTTAATATCTATAAAAATAATAAAGTAAGCACTATTTTTTACATTAAACGAACGCCTCGAAGCTGAAACAATTAAATTTTTTATTTAAATTAAAGGTTTCTTTGGTGTTAAATTTTGGTTTTTGCAAAGATTGTACTAAATTCATCTAATATGCTCTCTAGATTCCTTTCATAAATAAACTAATCATTTATACCTAAATACCGTGCACAGCCTCAATTTGTTAAGATAAATGTAATTAAAACACTCAATTTTAAAGCTTTTAGATTTCAATATAATAACTGTCAAAATGTCTTGTAAATATATAATATTTTTAATCTTTTGTTATTCATGTGAAATTTCAAGGGTATTCAGGGTAAACTTCCAAGTCACGGTTTTTTTTTTGGTTTTCATTTTGTAGATTAATTTTGGTTGCTTTCATTTGAAGCCATTTATGGAGATCGCGTGTGGCGATAAATTTAGTTTACAAAAGGAAAACGTTTAAGGTTATAAATTGTTTTCCAAAAGATTAAGCATCGTTATGTGCCTAACAGTGAATTAGTCGTAAGTGGCTAATAGAAATGGCCTTCATGCAATAGCTACGTTAATATTTAGGTGTCAGTGGGGTTACATAAGTTTGACCCTCAGCTAAGAGGAGTACACAAGAATTTAATGGAGAAAAAATTACAAATTCTTATCACATGTTTGAGTGTTTATAATCAGAGATTTTTGAAAATTGTCAAAACGACTGAAATTCAAGATAATTTATCATCATCCACAGAAAACTCATATAAAATTAATTATTTATTTTGTAACTAAAAGTATTATAAGGATTTCTTACGATTTTGGGAAAAGGATATAAAATGTTAAATTTGTGAGTGAAAAACTAATGCGAAAAGCGTTTTAATCTTATTAATTAGTAAGTCAAACTTTTTTATTTTGATTTGAAATTTTATAATTTGTATTAGCTTGAATGCATTTTATTCTTGAAACCCTAAAAAATGTAATAATAATAATAATAATTATAATAATAATAATTATTTTACAAATAAAATTAACATCTCAGAATGGGTACCCGTTTTCCTGGCAATTAACAACACGTAGAGTGGTTTAATTAATAAAACAAATACCATATGTTGTAATAGTGAAGAGAACGTGTCACTTACCCTGTACACGCCATCGACGAGTTTTGTAACTTCCTCGGCCTCCATTGTGGCTGGACTTATTTGCGGGCCCTCCTGCCGATGGATGTGGAGTGGATTCAAGTAGCCGATAACCGCGGGCTACTGATCGATAATGATGAATTGAGCGCCCCGAAAGCCGAAACACAAAAATCACTTGCAGCCCCGCCGAAATTCACTTTCAACTGCAGCGCCCAAAAGTCAAAATGCACTCGATTTTCACTTTCTAAAGTGGCACAAACACACACACACGCACACTTACACACACACGGGGAGACACCGTCGCCGAAAATTGACTGAAGGAGACCGAGACCCGAAAGTGGCAAGAGACGTTGAACCGGGCCGTAACGAAAGCCTCGAATTTGGAGTAAACTTGTAACTTTGACTTTCGTTGCACAGAATCTTGGAAATCTCGTTTCTGTCGTGACTTTCTTTTTGGCGGGCAGCAGACGAAGCTCAAACACCAACCGCACCACGTAACGCGATCCAGGCAAATGAAATGCCAACCGAGCCAAGACTTTTGCTTTGAGTTGAGTTCAGTTGCGTTGGGTTGAGTTGAGTTGGCTTGTTTCTATTTTTCGACGGGTTTGCTGGGGTCTTCGGGTCGTGTTTGTTGTTTGTTATCAACAACTTGTGGCTTCGGCACGTGATTGAGTTGTTCGTGAATCTGCAAAGAGAGAATCGGAAGTTTGCTCAGTCAGCTGGTATATAGAAAATAACTAAAATTGAACGAACAAAAATACTTGGCAACCGGCAATATTTAATCAATACTGGCGAAGGAATTTTTACAGGCCAAGAGGTTAGACTTTGGCGGAATATACAGGAAATTACAAAAATATACACAATTTAATAAGAGATTTATAAGAGAAGGTAAGTCAATTTCATAAATGACTTTATTATTAGCCAATAAAAAAAACCCCATTTATTCGATTTTTTGTTAATGTTTATTAATACGTTTGGTTTAAAGAAGGGTGTCTTGAGAATAAACTACAGACAATATTAAGGTAGAAGTGTTAATTCAATACTAAATAATATAACCCTTATACTTTTTAGATTCATTTCTATACCGAAGAGTCTAAAAACCACATAAGTTTTGTTTCGGTACATTTGTGGTTAAAATTTAATATTTATTTTAATGAAACATTTTTTCAAATTTAAAATTCGTGTATCATTTTTGTTTAAAATATAAACTTATATATTTTTTAAATAAACACTTAAATAACCTTTGAAAATATATTTTTTAAATCCTAACAGTTGTAACGCGTGAAGATGAGTAAACTAGACGACTTGCTGGGCAAAAAGAAAACGGTGGTTCCCGTTTTGGACCTCAGTCGCAGCAATATTCAGACCGTGGAGGAGTTCAAACGGCTGCTGGAGAAGGTGCCCGACTACAAGATGCGGCCGGTGAAGGTGCGCGCCGAAGAAATAAAGATCCGGGAGAAGGACTACGCCTTCAAGATGCCCAAGAAGGAGATGCGAAAGTTGTTGAGGGCAAATGGCGAACGGGAAGCGATGTACATCTATGCGGATCCGGTGCCCAGTGAAATGAAGGACGTGGTGCTGATGGAACTCTGTGCCGTGCCCATCGACTGGAAGATGCTGACCACTTTGAGGCCGAAGAACAAGCAGGAAGAGGAGTACTTCAGCCGAATGGTTGAGATGGGAAAATTGGAACTGAAAACCGAGGCCCGCGATCGCCGAGAATTTGCCCTGAACAATTGTGTTAAGAAGATCAAGAACAAATCGGGCATTGTGGAAACTCGACTGATGACCTGCGAGTCCTGCGGCGAGGAAATGTGTTGTGGTAATTAAAATCGAATATATATCTATATATTTGTAGACCTAACCAAACCAATATATATTTTATTTAGGCAAGTCTTGTGGTGACTTCAACTATGATCTGTACATTCGTGTCGAGGCCCGGGTGGTTAAGCCCAAACCGGCCGTTTTGGCCTCCAACAAGGCCAAGTTAAATGGTCGCAAAAAGTCAACGGTGGGCGGCACCAAGATCAAGGTCAAAAAGTCGTCCAACAAAAGCAGTTAGGAAAACTGAATGAAAAAATAATACTGTATGAATAACAAATATTCAAAAAATTACCCTTACAAACATATATAACTAGCTTTTATAACCATAATTATTTGCTAATATATCTGTAACATTTTTTTATAAATAACACTCATATACAACACAAATGGAAGTTATTAATTTATGAGAATTAAACACTTATGGAATTTTTAAGTTGTAAACACATAAGCCATGTGTAGCATTTAATAAAGTTGCTAATTAATCAATATTTTTCATTCCTTTTATAACCAATGTGTTAAATAAAAAGAACCTAAATTTAACTATAGAGCAAAACACATACAAGCTACCACACTATCTACAAATTTGGCCATTTATATTGAGCGTTTTACACGTTATTTACTACCAATAAAGTTTAAGCCCGCATACTAAATCATGGTAACAAAAACAAATGGTATATATACATTTTCTTTAAAAAACTGAAGTAAATGTTTGTATTTAACTATTCCATTGAAGATTTTTACATTTTGTTTTTTTTTTTTTGGTTCGACACGAATACTTATGCTTCTGTCTAACGAAATCCACTTAACATCAACATTGTTAGCGAACAGCTTCAAAAAATGTTGTAAACTGCTGAGATAATGAAGACAACTCAAATGCAAAATAGTAGAAATTTTCTACGATTTTTCCCGCTCAACAGGCGATACTCAAGTGTTTCTTTTTTGCCGGTCAGCAAATGCGGCACTAGCCGCATAAAGCTCAAAATGAAATGGCTAAAATATTTAAATTGCCACAGAGCAACACAGCAAAGCAGCCGAATGGCCATTAAGACAAAGTCAACAAGGGAACAGGGGTTCTGTGCTCGGTGGTCTGCAGAGACCCACAAAATACACTGGGCAAAAATAAAGGAATTTCTTTAAAATGGTTAGAAAAAGCTCAGAAAATTGGTATTTAAATGAAATGAGCAACTGGGATACGCAGGTAAATAAAACCAAACAATGTTTCAGATTTTTATGTTTTGGTCATTGTCTTGTAGATTTGTCCAATTGGGTTATGTTCTTGAAATGAAACAATATCTATGTGATGACAAATTCTTTAAATATTTTTTCTTAAGGTGATGGATGGACGAAATGGCGCCGACTTCGATGCGTTGGCGACATCGCTCCAGTGGCAAGCAGCCACTTACAGTCCACGAATCGCTGCTCGGAGGCTTGTGCAACAATTTGTGCAAGTCTCGGCTCTCGGCCAGAATTCAATGGCCGTGTCTCAGAGCCTGTCTCCGATTCTCCACTTCTCTAGACCCCGAGCACCGTTCCCCACTAATTCTACTCAGTCTGCGGAGCTGCACAGCTTTTGATTACTAATGAGCCCAGTTCGCTGTTGAGCTCTGTCAGCCCCGATCGCAGCTCTGATTTATGCGGTTTATTTATGGAAATATCTATTCGCGTAGAAATTGAAAATTTACTTTGAATATCAAATTTATAGCCTGACGGCACAGCCGGGGACCGAGACGAAGCTTTGCTTGGAATCTTAATTTGATTTCGATTTTCTTGCAACGCAGCTTGCAATTAGTTGAAGAATGTGTACAAAAATGAAGTAGGCCTAGTCCGATTAGAAATTACAAAGTTTGATCTACTTTATCTGAATAAATAAACCTTAAAAACAAATAAATTATATTTTAACTTTAAAATCTAGAATAAATGAACAGGATATTGAGCCAAGGAAAATTATTTTTTAAGTTGATAAAAATATATGAATTATATCCAGCTAATTAAACTTAATCCTACGTGGATACGTTTTTAATTCTATAATTTTATAATAAAAATTATAAAATTATGCTGATGTTTTTTTAAAAAGATTATCTTTTTCTTTAGAAAATGAAAAGTCTTTTGACTTTTTCCATTGTTTCCTAGATTATCTCCTCTTAAAATATCACTACATTACTTTGTATTGTCACGTGAGCGTAGATTACAGCTTCCGAAATATAATTATTATAATTTCCAACTAAATCGCTCTTCCTCCAACTCAACCGCAGACTTTGCTTCCCTCGATGTTTCTATTCATAGTGACACTCATATCGCCAGCTCACTTCGTAAATCAACTCAGACTGTTGACTTTTACCAACTTAATTGTGGAATCGAGTGTGGCACACCATTCAAGCCGAATTCTGTTATTGTGAGCTACCATTGAACTGCCGTGGAACAGGCAGCATCAATATGTCAGCACTTCGCCCCAGGTGACTTTCGTATCTTGGGGTCTTTCACCTGGTTAAAAGACGTGCCAAGACGATTACGTAGGCACACGCGTCTTTAACTGCGATCTGTGTAGCCGATCGGAAGATTTCCAACATAAACACGACCGAATGAAACTGAAAACAAAAACATGGCTCAAATGAAACGCATTTAAATCTTACGAAATGCTTGATGTCGCATCTCTATATTTATGCAGATGCAAGATAAACACATTCCAGATAAGCTGGCAAAGTGAGAGTGCCGTGAAGAAAGAAAGTTAGGCTCTTGTTTTCATTAGGCTTTCGTCTACGTGATGTCTTGCTGGGCCACGCCCCACAGCCTTGATTAGAATTCCAAGCTAAGCCCGCCTACGAAAGACTTAAGCAACGAACTTCGCAGCTGCATTCTTTTGATGCAAGGTTAGCATTACATCGTCACTGTGGTCAGCTGTGCAACCCGATATCACAGCACTCTAGCCGACGGCTTAATTATGCATCTGCCATGAAAATATATGCAAAAACAGCGCTTGTCTATTAAGAACAAGGCCGGAATCGCCAGCCAGTTAACTTAACCCGAGAAACTCGAATAGAACATTGCTCAGCTAAGACTCTGCTATATGATTATTGCCTTTTAATTGCTGCCTTAGCTTTGGTTTAAAGATTGACTCAAAAAATACAATACGGAAAAAAAATTTAGAAATATTGTAAAGGTAAAAATGTTATGAAATTATATTGAGTATTAAAGAAGCATTTCTTGTAAAACTTTTTTTTTGTTAGTCAATCCTATTTATAATATTTTAAATTAATTAAATATATATATTTTTCGTTTTAGATTTATTAAAAATTTTGTTTTAAATAAATTTTTTTAACTATTTATTTTGTTTTTAAGTTGACTTGATGTAAAATATATTTATAATTATTTGTAACTATTATTTATAATTAAATAATTACAGAGAAAGTATTTCAGAAAACTTTATCTTGGGTAATAAATTAGTTGTTTATATTACTTGCAGTCTATCAATAAACATGCAATTTTTTGAGTAAAAACTGATAGAAACTTTATTTGTTCGTGTAGACATCCTCTCAGCAAACCCAAGTGCATCCTCCCTTCCTTTGAATGGCCACAAATCACTTGGCAAACTTTCGCCGAATCGAATAGCTGATGAGCAGTCAACGACCATTTTTCCTGACAGTCAAAATACATGCGAATAATCGGGTAAACAACTTTAAGCAGCATGTCCAACATCAGTTAACTTAGGCTGGAGAAGAAGATTGGTGCGCAAAGTCGATGTCGGCATCGGAGCCACTATTATCAAATGCTCATCATTAACATTTGCTGCCTGCTGTGGCTGAAATCTCGACGTTACGATCAAATTGCAGCACATGTGAATACACGTGTGCCGCCGAGCCCAGAGATCTTGGACAAAGGTGAGCCGAAGATGTTGTGAAAATAAAATTAAACTAAAGGCCGAAGACAATGCACTGGGCGAAGTGGATTTTGCAGATGCACACTCGTATCTGTGCGCTAAATTGCCGTCAGATACATTTGCAAATGAGTCTTAGAGAGACATAGCACACAGCACACAATAACATTGTTCAGTCATACCAAAGGAAACCTCATTTTCCACGATACCCCCCCGTCCAGGTGCCATGCAAATCGAGAGACGCTGCCTGCTCGTTCAGTCAAATTGGCAGTGAAAGTAAAAGTTTAAGCTATTTTTTGCTCTCTGGGCTGTCGAACAGCCAGTAAAACGTAACAAATCCCAGCTCAAACCGTGGCCAAGCGCTAAAAAACCGAACGCACAATGGAAGCTGACGACTGGCAGACATCTCGACTGACACTTGCTGCCATAAGGAGATGTAGTCCATGTTTCACTTTGCCCTGAACAATACCGCACTGAACTGAGCCACCCAAAGACCATTGACCATCACCCGCTGACACGAACCCACTAAAACCCATTTCCTTTCAGCAATTAACTTTTTTACCAGCACTTATTTCAACAAATTTTTCTTAATTAGAAAAACATGGCCTGCATTGAAAAGAAATTTAAAAAAACTACTTGGAATGTAAAACTTCACACGTAGACATTTAATTTAAGCTATTAGGACAATTAGCGGTTGTATCATTATAAAATATTTATCTGAAAATGTCATATATTCACAAAGATTTTAATCAAAATGTTATTCAGCTTAAAAATATAAATTAAAATCAGAATTTTGTTTTTAAAGGCAAAAAAAAACAAACAATTCTACAATTTATACTATCTTAGCATGGATCGGTAATAAAAAGGTATTGGCAAAGCTTATTCTGAACCCATGTTAGTAGATAAATTATTACACTTTTTAAGTCTTATAAAAGTTTTGTAGCAGAAAACAAGAGTTAATGAGTTTATCTACTCGTATTTGAATTAATTACCAGCTTTCTGACCTTAGAAGATCCTCGTTTAGCGGAAACTATTTCTCTTCGGTCTCGCGTTGCTGTTCCATTAACCCACTGAGCAACGCTTCTCTACAAGATTCCCCCGGCTGGAGGCTGATCACCGGACACACCCAACATGGGCTGCTCCACCCGCCCCCCACAAATATCTTCTTGGCGGAACGGTCGTGACTTCATTTAGCAGTACTGCTCACGTACCGGCATCTCCTGTTTATTGCCATTGCTGGCGGGAAAAAAAGAAGCTCTCCCCATCATAAATTAGGTGCAGATGGAATCTCAAAGTGCCGACTCTAGTTTGGCTGCAGTTTTTCTCTGGGAGCGTTAATGGCCATGCCCATTCCGCTGAACAGGAACTGGCTATGAGATCTACACCCACATCAAAGTAAATGAAGGAAAATTCCAATGAAAATCTTAAAATGTTGTGATAATGATCAAAATAGTTAACTAAAATATGTGAGTAACTGGCTTGGCACAAATGGGAAAAAAGGAATAGTATATTGAAT